CATCCAACAGATTAATAGCCCAAAAAAACCAATCACTTATACTATTACCAGCAAAGCTATTGATCTGTGGCCATCCCAGCTTAACCCAAAGCCGGGTCACTTCAGCACAGTAAATAAACAGATGTAGGGCTGATTCCTGCACACAGCTGCACATATGACAATTCAAAAAGCATTCAACATTTCTTAATTGGAGAATATCACGCGTAGGGAGATAAGCAGAAGCCAGTTGCCAACAAAAATTCTTCACCTTCGGGGAAATATGCAAGTTCCAAATCTTACTCCATGGGCGATCATCCGCAGCCACCAATGTGAGATGCTTATAGCAAGATTTAACCGTATAAGCACCTTTTTGATCCCATTGCCATATCCACTGATCTCGTGGCCTTCGAACACTAACAGGTATGTTTAAAATCAAGTTAGCATCGCGAACATTAAAAACATCATAAACACACTCAATATCCCATCCAGTACCATGCATATTCATCAGAGAGGACACCGGAGCCGAACGAACCGATGGATGCAAGTCTGTCTCCACATACGGATTGTCATCAACCAGGAGCCAAGGGTCTGTGCCTATAGTAGTCTCACACCCATCACCAATAGCCCTTCTGCACCCCTCCCTCAAACAACTTTTGACCTCCAGCATGCCTCTCCATACAAAAGAAGGATTACTTCCTTCCCCAGCATCAAAGAAATCACAGCTAGGGTAGTAACGTGCCTTAAACACGCGAGCCAACAGACTTGTGGGGTTGGTAATCAATCTCCAAGCTTGCTTGCCGAGTAAGGCCAAATTCATCTCATGCATGAGCCAATATACTTTTGAAAAATAAAATAGCTATATATTATATAATCATATACAAAACGTGTTCAATTAGAGTTTAAATTTACACATACAAAATTTGAAATTTGCTTTCTAAATGTAATTATCTTAGTTATTATTCGTATTGTGAAAATTATAATATAGATGAAATACAATTAAGAATAAATCAATGTAATTATGTAAATTCTCTCTATAAGTTTATTTGAATATGCACATAATTAGAGATTATATTAACCATACAAAATTATAATTATAATTTTAATTGTAATTTTGTATTCTATAAAAATAATAAATACTTGACCAATGGAAGCTCAAAAATATTATTATATTAAATAATTTAAAATATTTTAGTTTTTCTATTTTTTATTTATATTTATAATAACATAATTTTTTCCCGTGCATCGCATGGGTGAATTACTAGTATAATATAAAGAGCAAAACAGGGAAAAAGAAAGACAAAGTGTAATAGCAACAATTTTATACCAACCAGTACACAAGGAATATATATAATTACATTTCTATCGAAAAACAATAATGATTTACATAAATTTGACCGTTATGACCGTTACATAATCAAGCCATAATGTCCACAATCAATAATATTTATAACATTCATCATTGGACATTATCTTACCATAATCATGCCTTGTTAAAAACTCGCTAGAAAAATCATGTGGGAAAAGAAAAGAGTACATGATATATGGGTAAAGCATGTGTTGTTTCGATTGCCTCATTAAAAATCTTACCCTAAGAAAATTATGTAGGAAAGAACTTAGTTAAGGGAAAAAGAATACAACGGTAAAACTTCAGGGTTCTATCTTTAGGATCACAAGAGTATTTTGATCTTCTGGACCAATAAATCAATTGCACATAGATGTTTTTGCTTCCCCTAAAAACAACAATCTTCCTAATCTACGCATACCAATTTTATGAACATATTTCTCAAAAGTAGACGTAGTTAGAGACTTAGTGAACAAATCTGCTAGATTGTCACTAAACCGAACCTTCTGAACGAGCATTTCACCACTCTTTTGGAGTTCATACAGGTAAAAGAATTTAGGTGTAATGTGCTTTGTAAGGTCCCCTTTAACATATCCACTACTCATCTAGGCAACGCATGCTGCATTGTCCTCATACAGGACAGTGGAGATATTATCTATACTTGATAATCCACAAGAGCTATGAATATTATGAATTAATGACCTCAACCATACACATTCTTGTGAGGTATCATATAGAGCAATGATATATGAATGATTAGATAAGGTAACTACCAGTGTTTGTTTAACAGATCTCCATGAAATAGTAGTACCATCACAAAGAAATATATATCTAGTCTGGATCTGGCATTGTGAGGATTATATACATATAACCAACATCCGAATATCCCACTAATGTGCCCAGTTTGTTTTTCTCAAATATGAGACCAAGATCTTTTGTACCTTGAAGGTATCTGAGGATACGTTTCACACCATTCTAGTGTCTTCTAGTTTGAGCAGCACTAAACCAAGCCAACAGGTTAACCGAAAAGGCAATGTTAGGTCTAGTGCAATTAGCGAGATAGAGAAGTGCCCCAATGGCACTTAGATAAAGGAAATTTGGTCCCAGAATGTCCTCGTCATCTTCCCTCGGTCTATAAGGGTCCTTATCAACTTCAAGAGATCGGACCACTATTGCAGTACTTAGTAGATGAGATTTATCAGTATAAAATCTCTCTAATAGTTTATTTATATATTTAGACTGGTGTACAAAAATTCCTTCAGGGAGATGCTCGATCCGCAGGTCGAGATAGAACTTGATTTTTTTTCCCAAGTCTTTCATTTCAAATTCATCTTTCAAACATAAACATGCCCTAGCGACATCTTTGTGTGTTCTAACAATGTTTATGTCATCAACATAGACGATAGATACGATACAGAAACCATCGGATGATTTCTTAATGAAGATACAAGGACTAATATCTTTATTCACAAAATTTGATGTGAGAATATTTTTTTAGGTTTGATATTTGGTATAAATTTTTGATATTTTAGAGTGGATCGAAATGGCATAATGAATCCTAAAAAGAAAGATAATAGAAGCAGAAAAAAAAGAGCCACTGACGCATCCTATATATAATAAAGCTATATGGTCTTGTGAAAATTGAATGTTTGCATTTAATTTTCACAAGACCATATAATTTTAAGATGTGAAAGTCTTGTGAAAATTAAATGGTCTTTAAGATGTGAAAATTACTTTAAGATGTGAAAATTAAATGTAACATTTAATTTTCACATCTTAAAGCCATATGGCTTTAAGAAGCATGCATGCAACCCCAAAGTCTATAGGTTTGAAATTAATATATAGCATAGCTATGTGGCTTAATATTTAAGATTGTTGATGTGCATATTGAGGACTACGGAGACAAAGATGCGTTATTCGTGGATTCATCGGATACTATCCAACAACACTCTCCAACTTAATTGACGTGAAGTAGGCTTAGTAACATTAATTAAGATTATATTCTCGAATTATTAGTTCTCATCTTTTATTGATTACACACTTAATTCGATAGTATTTAAAAAAAAAATCAATGTTCTAACTAAGATTGTGATTTTGGTCTTTAAAGGTCAATTGTATGTTGCTACATCTAGAGTTAGAAATCTCAAAGGTCTAAAAATTTTGATCCGTGGTGACTCTAAAATTGTAATTCAATTACTATTGTAGTTTACTAAGTTCTTAAAAATTTATAATATTAAATACTATGTACTAAATTTTTAATATAGTTTAAGATTTGTAGTAATCACCCACCTTAAATATTATTTTAATTGTAAATATATTTATGTTCATAATTTTATCATAGGAATTCACACATAATAATTATTAAATAACAAAAATTTTATATATGAATAAATCTCATATAGTGTATATTTTTATAACATATTTTCCGTGCATCGCACTGGACAAATACTAGTTAGAAAATAAAGAGCGAAACAGGAAGTACATGTGAGTTGAAGTCGGTATCAAAATGTAATATTGAGTTACGTTTATGATTAGAATGGTACGGTTGTGTCAAAACTATATAAATAGGCAAATTATTATGTAGATCATGATTCACACAGTGTTGTGAAGACCATAAAAAAATACATTTTTAATATATTAAAAGTACATTATTTGTGTACTAAATGTATATATTATATAAATAATGTACTTTTAGCACTGAAATAATATATATTCATTGAGTATAAGACACATTTTAAATATACTAAAAATACATTATTTGTGTACTGAATGAACATTACTTGATATTATACAAAATAATGTACTTTCAGTATTTAAATAATGTATTTTATATAAACAAATAATATGTTTTTTATTTATGATTCACACAGCTGTGCGAATAATGTTCCATACAATAATGCTCTGATAGGTTATATACCCCGGATCTGTGTTCTCGTTTGTAGTCGGGTCGGGATCAAGCGGTTCAGATCTCGCTATGGGAGTCGTGGTCAAAGGTGACGGGTCAAACCCGGGATGAGTCAAACCCGCCACCTCCTAGACCCTATAAAAGGACTTTTAATTTAGCCCTCCTAGTTGGGGGATCCCTCTTTGGACACTCTCTCTCTATGCTCTCCCTTCTCTCTTCATACATCTACATAAAAGAACACATTTAATAAGAGAAGGATTTGAGCTATTTCTCCTTGTTCATATATTGCTTACATACATATACATATTACATACAGTACATCCAACCAATACCGGGGATTAGTACTATCATGCTCCCTATACATAATCCATGAGTACTTTGCAAACAAACAGCTCCTACTTGGTTGGGCTAAAAATATTGTGACCACAATTATGGGATTCCAATCTTTTCATCAATATAATCAGTTCTGTTTTTATTACTTCATTCCTTGGGCCCGAAAACAGTCTACCAGCCCATCATTTGAGGATTGAATTGGTTTTTATATCGTGCACTAGCCACTAGGGAGCGTATTGCATTGTGCGCCCTGATGTAAAACGACGTCGTTTCAGTTTTTTTTTTTTTTTTTTTTTTTTTTTTTTTTTTTTTTTTTTAATTTCGCTACCATATGTTGGCGGTTAATTTTCTTTTAAAAAAAATTCTCATGTTAAAAAATGTATATAATTTTATACTAGAATACACATATTTGTATACATTTTTTTTTGAAAGCCAAATGAATCAGATTGCATTAGCCACTAGGGGCAGAATAAAAGGAGGTGGAACATCCCTCCAGAATGAGCGTTCTGCCAAAGCAGATACATGTTTAGATAGGGAGTGCGCCACATGATTGGCCTCCCTATTAATAAATAAGACCTGAGAACCGGGTAAAGCATTTAACAAATGAATACAAGATAAAAAATGAAACCAAAATAATTGCGAAACGAACTAGCATTACTAAGACTTGTAACCAAAACTGCTGAGTCGGTATAGATTTCGCCACCTGTGTATCCGTTATCCTTCAACCAAGAGAGGGCTTCACACATTGCCATAGCTTCCGCCAATAGGGGGTCATATGGGCACGACAATGGGCCATTAGCCGCTGCCACAAAGGTAGAATTAGCATCCAATACCACAAATCCAAATGCTGCATAGCGTTCGGGGCCGTGGAAACTGGCATCAACAAAACACCGGCTTGAGGGCGCCGAAGTCTCACCAGATGCATGAGACTGCACTGCCCGGGTGCTGTTCTCTCCATAAATCCGTTGCTGGCTATCCACCCATGAAGTCCAACTCGCCAAGCATCGCCGAATGAGCATCGTTGGCAGAGGCACGGCAGATTCCCATACAGCCGAATTCCTGGCAGTCCAAATACTATGAAGTATGCCACAAATTTTCCATTGTTGCTCACGTGTAAAACCCGTAGTACCACCAAGCCATTCCTCCGTCCACTGTATGAAATTCCTGTTGGCAAAAGGGGGAATTTGAAACTGAGAAAGTTGCCAAACATTAATAGCATAAGGACACAAGCAGAATATATGCATGACACACTCCTCTACTAAGCCACATAACGGGCAGACATTAATAATGTCAACCCTCCTAATCAACAAATTATCCAGGGAGGGCAATATATTCGATAAGGCTCTCCATAAAAAGACCTTCCATTTGGGTGGAACCTGTAGCTTCCAAACATTGTTCCATACCGGTGCCGGGTCGAGATTCAAAAATCCTAACCTTTTGTACCCATCTTTAACCGAATAACAACCCCTTATTCACCTTCCTAGTACCATATATCTTCATACTCCATACACACCGGCAAACGCAAAATCAAATCTACATCCCGCGGATTAAAAAGGTGATGCAAGATCTCATGGTTCCAGGTTCCCGTGTGGGAATCAATCAGGTCCGAAACACGCATAGGGTGGGCGTGATCCACCTGATCAGTTTCAATGTATGGATTTTGGTGATCCGGGAGCCAAGGAGCCGTCCAAACCTGTGTAGATGCTCCATTACCAATCCTGCGCCTACATCCAGATTTTAATAAATCTTGACTAGCCATAATGCTTCTCCAAACATAGCTCGGGTTACCACCCATAACAGCCTCATAAAAAGATGTAGTCGGGAAATACCTTGCTTTGAAAACACGAGCCATTAAAGAAGTGGGGTTTGTTAGGAGCCGCCACCCCTGCTTAGCCAGTAGTGCTAAATTAAACTCATGTAACCGTTTAAAGCCCATTCCACCATGCTTCTTGGGTTTACACATCCTATCCCAGGCCAACCAGTGTATGCTGCTACCCTGACCACCATGCCCCCACCAGTACCTGTTCATTAGTCTCTCCAATGAAGCACATAAAGTGATCGGGATAAGGTAGATGCTCATAGTGTAGGTTGGCATGGCCTGTGCAACACTCTTCAACAGAACCTCCTTACCAGCCTTAGACAGCAACCTCTTGTTCCATGACCCGAACCTCTGTCTCAGTTTTTGCTCAATGTAAGCAAAAACCGCCCTCCTGTTCCTGCCAACAACAGATGGCAATCCCAAGTACTTCCCGAAATCCTCAGCCTGAGAAACAGTCAAAACCCCTGAAACAAGATCCCGCATACCCTCGTGAGTATTCCGACTAAACGAAATGTTTGATTTATGAAAATTCACCGACTGGCCAGAAAAGGACTCTTAAACACTTAGGCATCTCTTTACTTCCAATGCTTCCTGCAGATTAGCTTTAAAGAAGAGTAAACTGTCATGAGCAAAAAACAAATGTGAGATCGGTGGCGCCCCCGGGCCACCCTGCAACCATGAATTAGGCCCTTTGCCTGTGAATCCTGCAAAAGTAATGATAGACCTTCTGCACAAATTATGAATAAGTAAGGTGACAAAGGGTCCCCCTGCCGTAGTCCCCTTGTAGGTACAGTCTCTTCTGTAGGCCTGCCATTCACCAATACCCTATAACGCACAGTTTGAATACACAACATAATCAGTTGTATCCACCTTGCATCGAAACCCAGACCCAATAACATATCACTCACAAAGGACCATTCCATCCTATCGTAAGCCTTAGCCATATCAAGTTTCAACGCAGCCCACCCTACCTGGCCTAATTGTTTCCTCCTCAAGTAGTGTCCAACCTCAGACGCAATCAGAATATTATCCGAGATCAACCTACCCGGCAGAAACGCACTTTGTGATTCTGAAATAATACCCTTAAGCAAGGGTTTCATACGATTCGCTAACATTTTAGCCATGATCTTATAAATGACATTACACAGAGCGATCGGGCGTAAATCAGAAACATGCTCAGGAACACATTTTTTAGGGATCAATACTATGTTCGCATCATTCAAACAATCAGGAAAAGATGACTGGGATAAACAATTTAGCACAAAAGCAGTGATATCCTTACCGATGACATCCCAGAAGGCTTGGTAAAAACCAGGATTCATGCCATCCGGCCCAGGGGATTTATCCTTGCCCATCGAAAACAAAGCCGCCCGTACCTCCTCTGGCTCAAAAGGACGTAAGAGATCAGCATTCTGAGCGTCAGTCACTCGAGCCCGCATAGAATCCACCCTGAAAGGCTCAGGGGAACCTCCCGAGGCAAAAATCTGCTTATAATACGAAGTAACCAGAGACTCCAAAGCCTGACCCTCCTGCTAAACCCCGTTGTCACTCTTTAACTTCTCAATAACATTCTTCTTCTTTCGGTGGGATGCATACTTATGAAAGAACTTGGTTTTACGATCCGCACCATGCAGCCAGTGCTGCTTAGCTCGCTGCTTCCAAAAGACCTCCTCCTGAGATAGGGCTATATTTAGATTAATGTCCAAACGTGCAAACTCGGCCAAAGATGTCGGATCACGATAGGCTTACAGCTTGTCCATCTCCTTTCGTAACACCCCAATACGCTTACCATACTTGTGATGCCGATCACCACCCCATGCTTTCAGGCCTCTACCACACTGATTTAGCCTTGCCTGCATGTCCATTCCGTGCGAACTGGCCCATTCCTGCTCCACCACTCCCCTACACCCCTCATCCAGCAACCACGCATTCTCAAAACGAAAACTACGTGGCCTAGCAGCATGTACCAATCCATAAATATCCAAGAAAAGAGCCGAATGATCCGACGAGTCCGTACGAATATTGTACAACCTCGCCCTATCATAGCAACCCAGCCAATCCATACTAGCCACCACCCTGTCAAGCCGCTCCTCCACCCAATCAACAGTACCCTTGCCCCTTTCCCAAGTAAACGGATAGCCAATAATTGGAAGAGACAACAAACCACAGTCCTCCAGCGCCTCACTGAAACCTTCAATCAAGCCATTCGGATGCGGCAATCTTCCCCTCTTCTCCGATTGGGCCAACAGATCATTAAAGTCCCCCAGAACCACCCAAGGTAACTCAGAAGCTCCCTTAAGTGACCTCAAATAGTCCCACGACGCCCTTCTCCTGTTCCTCTGAGCATAGCCATAATAACCCGTGAGCCGCCATTGTGGTTTTCCCGGCAGGGACACCACCAAGTTAATGTGATTAGAAGTATAACTGATCAAGCTAGCGTAATTGTTCTTAGCCCATAAAAAGCACAATCCCCCCCTTCGACCGTCGCTATCTACCTTGAAGCACCCCTCAAAGCCCAGTTTTACTCGTAACCTCTCAGCATGACTACCATCCACCATCGTCTCCATCAAAAAAATAAAATCCGGCTTCCTTTTGGGCACAATGTCCTGTATTTCTCGAACCGTCCGTGGATTGCCCAAGCCACGGCAGTTCCAAAATATGGTACTCATTGGGAACGGCGGGCCTGGTCCCCAGGTCCTACCAACAAAGAAGGAGTAGTTTCCACCTGCATGCCCCCATCCAACACCACCATCCGCCCCCCTACGCCTCTTGGGGTCCACCCGAACCCCCAAATCCGTCTCAACCCCACCACCCGAACCCCCCATTGGACTGCCCCCACCCAAACCCCTCACTGTACTGTCCTCGCCTCCCAAACTGCCCCTTACCCCCCGGCATGCCGTCTCACCAGCCACTGGCCCGGCAGACACCACAGCACGCACCTCTCCCCCTGGCGCCCCACCGTACCCAATCTCGCGGCGGCGTTCCTGCCCAAGACTGAACCACTTTTCACCTAGCACCTTAGCCGATCCCGCACCTCCCGCCTTCAAGAACGGTCCGTATAAATATTGTTCGGGTATGAGTGTTGAACGTCTCGCATCCAGACAGAACTTGTCCGTATGCCCCAATTTGCCACAGAAAAAACAAAACATGTGCAGGCGCTCATACTTAAAGTTTACCCACACCCACGTGCCATCCCGAAGGATCATCTTCATGCGGCGCTTCAAAGGCATAGCCACATCATGCGTAACCCTCACCCGGTAGAAAGTAGCCCACGGACGCGTGAAATTTCGATCATCCACCCGCAAATATACCCTAACGAAGTCCCCAACCTTTTCCAACACCTTCTCGGTACGATATCCAATCGGAAGATCAAAAACTTGTACCCACAGGTCCACTGTATTCAACGCCACCTGCGTAGGATTATCGTTACCATGCAAAGGCTGGCATAGCAATGTAGAATTCTCAAAGGCCCATGGCCCCTCCTCCAGTACACGGCGCCTATCCGGCTCGTCGAAAAAAGTGAACAGGACAAGGTCCGGCTGCACATCCACGATCTCAATGCCCATTAGTGGTCGCCAAACCGACGCCAACACCCTTTTCATCATCTCAGTTCTGATCGGCCTATCCGTTAAGACTCGCCCCACTATCGACCAAGTCTGGTTCTGCACTGTATGATCAATCCCCCCCGTCGGCTCCTCTTCAAAACGCACCCCCAAATCTTCATCCTCCAACGTAATATCAGCGGTGTTATCGACTATGTCCTGGATATCCATGCCAAACGTCAAACCAAGCTCCAGTTCCGATCGGCGATCGTCGCAAAAACGTAGCAAAAACCCTAAATACCAGGGCAGAGAGAAAGAGAAACCCTAGATACCAGGGCACATATTTGTATACATGAATGTACTTAATTGTATAACAAAATACACATATTTAAAAAATAATAATAACAATACACATAATCTAACATAATACATAATATACATAAACTTTTAACATAATACACATAAACTCTTAACATAATACACATAAATTTCCTGTTTCGGATATACATAATTGTATAAAAAAAATGTACATAATTGTATAAATAAATACGCATAATCACGTCAACTCCCTACATAACTTACCAAAACGACGTCGTTTTGGGAGGCGCGGAGCGCATAGTGCTATGTGCGCCATGGTGCTGGGTATTATTGTGCGCCCTGATGTAAAACGACGTCGTTTCAGATTTTTTTATTTTTTTTTTTTTGAAATTTCGCCACCATATGTTGGCGGTTAATATTCTTTAAAAAAAAAAGTCTCATGTTAAAAAATGTACATAATTTTATACTAGAATACACATAATTGTATACATGAATGTACAAAATTGTATAACAAAATACACATTTAAAAAAAAAAAGATAATACACATAATCTAACATAATACATAATATACATCAACTTTTAACATAATAAACATAAACTCTTAACATAATACACATAAATTTCCTGTTTCGGATGTACATAATTGTATAAAAAAATGTATATAATTGTATAAACAAATACACATAATTGTATAAACAAATACACATAATTGTATAAACAAATACACATAATCACGTCAACTCCCTACATAACTTACCAAAACGACGTCGTTTTGGGAGGCGCGGGGCGCACAGTGCTATGTGCGCCGTGGTGCAGGGTATAACGATTAGGTGAACCTCATGTTTGACTACACTAGCGGGAAATTGCAATCGTTATACCCAGCACCACGGTGCACATAGCACAGTGCGCCCCGCCGCGCCTTTCAAAACGGTGTCGTTTTGTTAAGTTGTGTGGGAAGTCGACGCGACAGAGTGTATGTGTATTATGTTATATAATTATGTACATTATGTTATACAATTATGTACATTTTAGTATACATATGTACATTATTTTATACAATTATGTACATTTTTTTATACAATTATGTACATTCGAACACACGATTTTTTTGAACAGTTAAAAGTTTATGTGTATTCTGTTATACAATTATGTATGTTCTCATATACAATTATGTACATTTTAGTATACAATTATGTACATTTTCAAAACATGAAAATTGTTTTTTAACAAGTTAACAACAAACACGGAAAAGCGAAATTTTCAAAAAAAAAAAAAAAGTGCAAAACGACGTCGTTTTGCACTAGGGCGCACAATGCATTGTGCGCCCTAGTGCATGATATAAATTGCCAGGAAATTGTAATGGAAATGTCAATTATACTATATACTAGTAAGAGCCAAAAGAAGTTAGGCCTATAATAGGTAAAAAAAAAAATGTTCGTCAAATTATTAATTAAATCAAATAAAGGGTTTAGATTGATCAGATTTTAATTTTTTCTTGAAATTTCATAATTTCTCCTTAATTATATGATTATCCGTTAATTTTCTCTTTAAATATTATCTCCACCGTTAATATTATTATAAATCCCCGTTAATACCACAAATCACACAAAAGAAAAGCACACAAATCCTTATAAAATTCTAATATTAAAGTCTAATATTAAGTCTTAATAGAACTCTAGCCCACAAATCTTTATAGAGTTATAATTACACCATTAGTCTAATTCTAATATTAAAGTCTTAAGCCATTGCCCACTGGTTAGAAGTACAAACCTAAATTATTCTGCAACATAACATCAACGGGGAGACTTAGTCTGATCAGGCACAACATCAACTCGGAATTCTGCAGGTATGTTGCAGGAGACTTAGTCTGATCAGGCACAACATCAACTGGAAATTCTGCAAGTATGTTTATCAACTGAGAATTCTGCAAGTATGTTTGTACATCTCCAAAATGTTTCTATAATATTATTTGTATAAACAAATTGCTGCTGCCTCCGCCCAACCTCCATTAACCTAGAACTTTCCCATGCCCGTCTCTGTTGAGCCTCCCCTGCCACATCGCACCGCCAATCAACCAACTCAAACTCAACTTGCCAGAATCCACTCAAATTATATTAGGATATTTAATATCTTATGCCCTAATCTTTATTTGATCTCCCTTATGTCCCGTATTTGGTTTCAACCATACCCATACCTTATAATTACAAATATTAATAATATGTGGATTTCCATTATATATATATATATATATATATATATATATATATATATATATATATATATATATATATATATATATATATATATATATATATATATATATATATATATATGGAAGGGCTCAGGTGCGGGTTAGGCTTTCCATGCGGTTGTGCGGTTGACGCACCTTAAGCATTAAAATGGCGCACCTTAAGTACACAAATCACCACGCACCTTAAGCACACAATCAAAGCACCCTAATTGTTGAGACTTAGTTTTTGGATTTTGTTATGTTTATCTGGTTATGCTTATTCTTCTGTTTATTCCTTTGCCTAGTCTTGTGGTTTAGGTATAACCACTCCTCTTTTCATGGTCATGTACTCTATTTAAGCTTTGTGCTTTACGTTGAATAAACTACAATCGTTTACACTCCAACATGGTATCATTGCCAACACTCTAGCGAGAAAAATTATTACTATTAATTTTTTTCTCCCTCCCTATCACCACTCATGGCTGTCGTTAACACCCCTGCCATTACTCACCTTCATGCTCCAACCCACTTGCCAATAAAACTCACTCCTTCGAACTTCCCTATTTGGAAGAAACAGGTCGAGTCTACTCTTATAGGACTAGATCTTCTGGGCTACATTACGGGCTCCACTATAGCTCCGCAATAAATCCCGCCTACACAACTTGGTTCAGGCAGGATCAAATCATTTTGAGTGTTATTCTCGGCAGCCTCTCGGATGTCTTGCAGCCGATCATCTCATCTGATGTCTCTGCGAGTGATGCCTAAACACGTTTATCCACGAGTTGTGTTGTTTCGTCTTGGGGACGTGTAGTTTTGCTAAAGGCGAAACTTGTCAAAAATTCTAGGGCCAATCGGCCTATTGACTCGTATATGAGGGAAATGCGAGCAATTGCTGATGATCTGGCGCTAGCTCAAAGTCCGGTCAGCGAAGAAGATCTCGTGGTACATATATTTATGCAGCTTGGCAATGAATACAATCCCATTGTGGTGGCTCTTCGCGTACGAACCGAGGTCATCTCATTTAGTGAGCTGCAAGATGTTCTCACTGACTATGAAAGATTGATGAAAGATAACGAAACTGCCTTGCACATTCATATGCCTACTACAAATGCCACCCAACGGCGTTATAATGGCTCAGGTGACTCCCAGTTTCAAAATTACAATCACCGTGGCAGAGGGGGTTCTGCTTTTCAAATGGGCTACAACACCAAATGAAGAATAGCGGGAACCGGCCTCCCAGGTACTGTAACTTTTGTGACTACCCCGGGCACGACACCAAGTTTTGCCGCAAGTTGGCCAAATTTTTGAAGGAGAACAATGTGGTTGTGCTCGAACCTCAAACCACTACACGACAATCTCCCTCGGCTCATGATACGTCGACCGTGGCGTTGCCTACTCAGTCCTGGCTTATGGACTCTGGAGCCTCGCATCACACGGTTAATGATGCCACTTCGCTTCACACTCTCGCGGACTACAACGGACCTGACGAGATAATGCTAGGCGATGGTAAGTCATTACGTATCTCACACACTGGGTCAGTCTCTATACCCGCAACTAATCGGTCTATTCTCTTGTCCGATGTGTTATGTGTTCCAAGTTTGCACAAAAATCTTGTTTTAGTTTCCAAACTTTGTAGTACTAATTCCGTCTCGGTTGAATTTTTTGACAAATATTTTGTTGTTAAGGATCTGCAGTCGGAACTCTTCTCGTACGGGGCCTAGTCGTGAGTGACGTCTACAGCATCCCTGTCCAGCGGCCTCAGCTTAATGTCGCTACCAAGTCCTCATTGTCACATTGGCACCATCAATTTGGTCATCCCAGCTCTAAGGTTTTAGTCTATCTACTTAGGAATAATAATGTTAATTTTACGCCTGACGATCTCAAGGCGTTGTCTTGTAATTCTTGCCACATTAATAAAAGTCACAAACTCCCTTTTTCCTTCAGTTCCATGTCCAGTTCACGACCGTTGCAACTAAGTTACACGTATGTGTGGAGTTCTGCAACGGTCTATGTAGATGGGTTTAAGTATTACATCAATTTTGTTGATCACTATACCAAATATGTCTGGTTATTTCCTATAAAACTGAAGTCAGATGTTCCCACTATATTCCTCTGGTTCAAACGTATGGTAGAGACCTATTTTGGCCATAATATTGTTTCAATATTTTCTGATAATGGGGGGGAGTACATCAAGTTGATGCCTATCTTTAGCTCACTGGGGATTTCGCATTTCACTTCACCGCCGCATACTCCGGAACACAATGGTCCGGCTGAACGCCAGCACAGGCATATTGTCGAGACTGGTATGGCGCTACTCCATTATGCGTCCATTCCTTCTTCTTATTGGACCTATGCGTTTCAAACCGCTACTTATCTAATAAATAGAATTCCCACTGCAATTCTCAGTCAATCTACACTGTATGAAAAATTATTTAACAAGCAGCCGAACTACCAAAAAGTACAACCTTTTGAGTACCTGTGTTATCCCTGATTAAAATCGTACTTTCCAGCTAAATTGAGTCCAAAGTCCCTACCCTGTGTCTTCTTAGGTTATTCGTTGAGTCAGTCCGCTTACAAATGATTAGAAATATCTAGTGGTTGGGTCTATGTTTCGCGTCACGTCAGGTTTGTGCCGAATAAATTTCCGTTTAGTAGCATTGTTCGTTAGTCTGTGTCCACTGACCTAGGTGTGTGTTCAAACGTGAGTGTACCTCTGCTTTTGTCTTCCTCTTGCACTGCAAGTAATGTTATGTTGCCTTCCACTGGTCCTAATCAGCAGCCTGCTTTATCCTCAACGTCGGGTGTGGCTTCAACATCGGCACAGGTTCAGCCTCACCTACCGTTGGGTACAGCTTTCGACGCCGTGTGGTCGCCGTCCAACGCTTCACCGGTGCCAGCTGGTCGGAGCTCGGGAGATCGCACATCACTTCACCCTCCTGCTCCGTCGTCGCCGGTGCCAATCGTTCTTAGTGATGAGCCCTCGGCGGTTGGTTTGGGTGTTTCGGACTCGTCGCCGGCTGCTAGTCCTCCAGGGCAGTCGCGATCTGAACAATTGTCTCAAGTGGTGGAGTCGGTGCCGGTGGTTGGTTCAGGTTCGTCTGCCGATTCCATGCAAGCTACCTCCACGCAACCTGGATCCGATCCGTGCCTGATGTTCTATGCGACACTATGGCTTCGACAGATCAGATGGCTGCGGTCGCTCCTATGCGTCGGTCGAATAGGAACAGGCGTCCTAATACCAGATATTTTGGCGACAAATTTGTAAATTTGACCACTTCTCATCCGGTTGCCCCGTCAATTGAACCACGTAGTGTAGACCAGGCGTTCAAGAATGACCTATGGCGGGCTGCTATGACGGACGAGTTCAATACACTGGTAAGGAACTCCACTTGGGAGTTAGTACCGATGGCTCTGTAGACAGGTTCAAGGCTCGGCTGGTGGCTAAGGGTTTTTTACAGGAACCGGGTCGCGACTATTTTGAAACTTTTAGTCCGGTGTAAAACTGGTCACTGTGCGTGTCATTCTTAGCATCGCGTTATCCCAGGGCTGGTCGTTGCGTCAATTGGACGTCAACAATGCTTTTCTGAATGGTACACTGTTTGAGGAGGTTTATATGGCGCAACCTACGGGGTTTGTTGATATTGAGAAGCCTAATCATGTGTGCCGGTTGAAGAAGGCGATTTATGGGCTAAAGCAAGCCCCTCGGGCTTAGTATATTTAGTTACCTGACTTTTTGGTTTCTTTTGGCTTTAAGTAGTTTGTAGCCGATTCTTCCTTATTTATTCATTGTACATGTAATATCGTTTTGTATTTTTTTAGTGTATGTCGACGACATTATTGTTACAGGCAACAATGATGCCTTCACCGCTGCTTTTGTCCGGCATCTTGTTAAGCGGTTTTCTTTGAAGGATTTCGGTCTGTTGCACCATTTCTTGGGTGTTGAAGTGGTATCTACGACAACTGGGTTGTTTTTATCTCAGGGTCAGTACGTGGTTGACATACTGGACCAGTTTGGCATGACGGGGGCGAAATCGGTCTCTACTCCAATGTGTCCTTCGGTTGATTTAGGTGCGGATGCCGCGTCCTGACTCCACGACTTATCGTCGCGCCATTGGCCGCTTGCAGTATTTGGCGATTACCACGCCTGATGTTTCGTTTACGGTGAATCGTTTGGCTCAATCTATGGCCTCGCCGACTGAGAGTCATTGGCAAGCTGTGAAGCGAGTCATGCGCTACTTGAAAGGTACGTTGCATTTTGGCCTTCATTTCCGGTGTGTTGCCCACTCTCGCTGGTGGCGTATTCAGACTCTGACTGGGTGGTGTTCGTGACGGGGGGCGATCAACCATGGCTTACTATGTCTTTTTTGACTCCAATCTCATTTCCTGGAAGTCTTCTAAACAACGGTCAGTATCTCGGTCGTCCACGGAAGCCGAGTTCCGGGCGCTTGCTAATTCCGCTGGTGAAGTAATGTGGGTCCAGAGTTTGTTGCGGGAGCCTGGTGTTTGTCTGCGCTCTACTCCCTTCTTGATAACGGATAATTTAAGTGCTACTTATGTGTGCAAAAATCCGGTGTTCCACTCTAGGATGAAGCACTTGGCGCTTGACTACTTTTTTGTCCGTGAGCAGGTTACTTTTGGTGCCCTACGTGTTGGCTATGTTCGTTTAGCTGAACAGGTGGCTGGCCTCCTAACTAATCCTCTTGGTTCTCATTTGTTTGCTATGTTCCGGTCTAAGCTTGGGCTCACTGACGGTGCCTCAATCTTGCGGGGGCGTGTTGAGACTTAGTTTTAGGTTTTTGTTATGTTTATCTGGTTATGCTTATTCTTCTGTTTATTCCTTTGCCTAGCATTGTGGTTTAGGTATAACCACTCCTCTTTTCATGGTCCTATTCTCTATTTAAGCTTTGTGCTTTACGTTGAATAAACTCCAATCGTTACACTCCAACACTAATAACACAAACCACTCCCCTTAAGTACACAAATCATGCACCTTAAGCACACAACAAAGCACCTTAAGAACACAAACCACACACCTAAGTTTTTAAAATGACTCACCTTAAGTTTCACACAACTGACGCACCTTAAGCATACAAATCACGCACCTTAAGAAAGAAAACAACGCACCTTAAGAAGGAAAACCACACGTCATAAGTTTCAACAACTACTCACATTAAACACAAACCCCACACACCTTAAGCACAAACCCCACGCACCTTAAGCACAAAAAACACACACCTTAAGAAGAAAAACCAGACACCTTAAGTTTCAACAAATACTCACAGTAAGCACACAACCCACACACTTTAAGCAAAAAACTCACACACCTTAAGCACAAACACACGCACCTTAAGAAGCACAAAACCACGCACCCTAAGTTTCAACAAATACTCACATAAGCACAGAACCCACACACCTTAAGCACAAACCCCATGCATCTTAAGGAAACCCCACGCACCTTAAGCACAAAACTCACGCACCTTAAGCACAAAAACCACACACCTTAAGAAGGAAACTCACGCACCTTAGATTTGACCTAGATGCAAAAAATTACCAAATTGTCACCGCGTTTTTTTTTTTTTTTTTTTAATTTGGCAATCCTGGACGTTGATTTAAGCAAGATCAATGGCTCATATTTAACCGCACCTGAACCTAATTATATATATATATATATATATATATATATATATATATATATATATATATATATATACATACCAATTATTTTAAAATACTCATGATTCTTATTTGATCCTTATTTGGTATCTCATGTTTTCATTCTCATCCTTACGTAATCTATGATTCCTATTACTCTTTACTCCATAAATTATACATTTAAATTAAAGTATATTATGTGTTAACATTGTTCATGAACATTACCGATGACATCAGGATATTAGACATGACAAGTGAACTCAAGTTAATTGATAGTGATACGCAAACAGTGAAATGAATTGAAGTTGTAAAGTTCGTGTCATTAAGAAAAATGAACCAAATAATGCTATTGCAACATCAGGGAAAAAAATATATGCTCATTGTCCTTGAAGATGAAAATGTAGTAATTTATAAAACATGATTATTATTATTATTATTATTATTATTATTATTATTATTATTGTTGTTGTTGTTGTTGTTGTTGTTGTTGTTGTTGTTGTTGTTGTTATTATTATTATTATTTCATTCATCAAATGCATAATCATAAATGCACAATTAAACATGACACACTACCAATATAAAAGAAGAGTATATTTACTGAAGATGAAGAGAATGACAATGCTACCCAAAAGAGAATGTAGAAGACTTAAAGAAATTTTAACCAAATGTAGTATTTAATTACACTATTATTTTTAGACTAGCGTTTTTTAAAAGTTGTAAATAATTATTTTATTGACAATTATAATCAATCTTGACTATATTATCTTGCATTCGTAAACTTAGAATTACCTATTTAAATACGCAAATTCAACATTCAATTATATATGCATAAACAATTTCAATATAATCTTACATTGATATACTTTAAAGTACTTATTTGAAAATAAACATTGGACATTATTCCAATCGCGCAATGCGCGTGAAAAACTAGTAATACTATATGTGTAGTCATTTTTTACTATATACCCCGTAATGCCCGTACTATTGAGTAAGATGAGAAATTTGTCGTCACTTCTGAATGTATTTTTATCTGAATGGATGATAGGTTTTTTTTTTTTTTTTTAATTGAAATAACACTGCTGGAAATTATTGAATTTCCGACCACCTGAAAGTGATCTTAAATTAAGTCAAAAGCAAAAAGTTGTCGGAAATAGCAACAAAGGTTTTTCCGGATATCAAAAGTGGTCGGAACTAAGGCTTTCAACTTGATTTAAAATCATTTTCATGTGGTCGAAAATTTTATAATTTCCAGTAGTGTAAGCGGGTAATATGTTTTATTCGTTTATTTCTTCTTCTAATAAAATCCGAACATGCAACGGGAGTTTTGTTGTTTGGGATACACTAACCATTTTCTTATTCGTGATCTCGTTTACCACTAAAATATGGCATATTTTCAAATACAAAAGAGTCTTTTGTATTTGGAAATATGTCGGACAGGAGAAGAAAACTTTGCATGTAACTAATTACTAAAGAAATTATGATGGAAAGTACACTATTTGAATAGATAGTACCTTGTAATATAGTCGATAGTACTGAAAAAAAAAATACTAAATAAATTGAAAGTGCACATATATATTGCCATTGATACGTATTAACAGTCAAAGCTCACACATTCCAGTGGTAATAGTAGGGGAAAACAAGAAAGAGCCAAGGACTATACTAACATTATTGAAGGTCCTTTCAAAAAACATTATTGAAGGTAAAACTGGTTTACTACATATACTTGTACAGCTATATATATTACATATGAGAAGCCAAAATTGTGGATACATTAAACCCAAAACTAACTGGCCGAAACCACGCACATTAACTATAACTATACTAACATTGAAGCTAAGGTAAAACTGGTTTAATTAATTAACCTCGTCCATCTAATGATTCATGATTGTTGATTGGAGGTTTATGGCGAGGATTAGGCCCCGACCCAGAACCTCCGGTGTAGTCTTTGTTCATCATGCCCAGAAGCTTGTTTGCATCCTTTGAAACCCTTTCAGGTTCAAGCTTCTGATATTGTACTTGAGAAATCAATGAATTGAAGAAGAAGAAGAAGAAGAAGAAGAAGCTAAGAAGAAGAAGAGGACCTGATGATCATGGGTATCTGCAAGTGGGCTCTTTGAGACTCCATTTCCTGCATGGAAACAAGCAAAGCATTGAGATTATTGAATCTGCAGATTCTCTCATCTCTATACTTACCCATATATGGCAATTGCAAATATGATCCTTTTTTTTTTTAAAGTTTTTGATTTTGAAATGATAAGAGAAAAGAATAAAGATAAGATAAAAGGGGTGACAAAATTGTTTTCTGTTTTTCTTCATTCAATATATAACTATGAAAAATGGGAAAAAAAAATACACTACAAATTAAAGAATGTACTGGTGATTCTAGGTCTAGCTGCTTACACAAAACTTGAAAATTCCTTTTTGAACTTTCTTGATTTACTCTTGCGTACATACAAGTATACACTAGCTAGTAGGGGTTAGATAAATAATGTTGGATTTGTATCTATCAGTTATTCTTAGGAGGGTGTGGTCTTGCCACATGATAATCAGCATTGAAAGCCATGAAACCGCCTGGATTATCCTTGATGGAATCTGTACTTCTAATAATCCTCAGTTTTCTTTGCATTCTCATCATCTTTCCCTGCCCTTTATGGCTATAATTTCCCACAGTAAAACTACACTCTGAACAATTACCATTGCTACTTGTAGTCTTGCCACCTTCCTCTTTCTTCTTTCCCTTGCTCCTCATCATGTCTTTTCTCTCCACCATCATCTTCCTTCCTTCCATCTTCCCTTTCCTCATCTCATCATCGTTGCCATTCAAAATCTCCTGCAATATAGATTCTGTTGGTCAGTTCAGTCACCATGATTTACCCATCTACAAACTGTCGTGTCAGGGTGTAGGGTGTTTGGGGTGGATATCTCTGATGGTCAATTGAGTCACCATGATTTACCCCTCCACAAACTGTCGTGTCGGGTGTTTGGGGTGGGTATCTCTGATGGTTGGCTGAGTCACCATGATTTATCTCTCCACAAACTGTCGCGTTGAGGTGTAGGGTGTTTGGGGTGGGCAATTCCACCTTTTGTCACAAGAAATTCTATTACAATGACATTAGTTCATTATATATATATTTGTTAGGCGGAGGCAGATAAACGGTCAAATCCATCAATTGGTAGATAGAGGATTGTTGGGTGGAGTCCAGTAAAAGGCCTCTCAAATATGTATGGCGTCTATAAAGAAATAAAATTATGACTTACGTAGTGATAATTAAGCAATTAATCCTAACAATATTGTTACGTTGTAATAGAAACGGGTTATTATATATATAGTGTTACCTTGTGTTCCATGTGTCTAAGAGAGCTCCCACTTGTCATGGTAAAACCATTCTCATCATCTTCAACCACAACCTTCCTTGTAACTGTAGTGAAAAAGATCGAACTGCTTAAATTAGTTTTGGTTTCATGGCAAAACATATATATTTGCATCAAGAAAGAATGGATCGAACATTAAAGTAAGGGTGTTGGAGAGCTAATTACCTTGGTTTGTATAAGCAAGAGAACTGTTTAAGGATGTGGAAATGAACACAAGACAAAACACAAAGGTAGTAGACTTTGAGGACACCATTTTTGGCTTTCTTGTGTGTTGTGTTTATGTAGAAAGGAGAAGGAGGGGATCACATGGAGTGAGAATATAGGGACATTTATAGAGACTATGAATTCCAGACCCAAGTCAAAGCTAAGATTCCAACAAACCTTTTTTTATTAAAAAAAAATACTATAAGTTGTTTTGTGTGTACACTGTACAAGCAGTACATTGGGAGACTCGAGGAGTTTAATTTATAAAGAAAATATTCAAATTTGGTACAGAAAAAAGTTGGATTGAAGATCGATGGTTTTTCATTTCTGGCATGCAGTTTCTTTTTTGAATTGGGCGAGGTTAGGGCTAGGGAAGAGGGACATATATGATAGCGTGGAAGAGAAGGTACGACTGTTTCTGCCATGTCCATCGCCACTTGCCATGGAACGAAGGATAGTATTTGTTTTAAAGGAAAACAAAACTTTTGGCCCTGAATTGTTTCATTTTTTCAAATTTTTGTCTTTGTAAATTAATTTAAAGGAATTGAGCCCCTCAATTCTTCATAATGTTACATTTTTAGTCCTTAGTGTTATATAATTGTCAAATTCTAGACTTAAGATAAACTTAAGTTAGAACAACTTATTATAAAGAGTTTTTGCAGCAAAAAAAACGTGAATCCTTTTTAAATATTAAGCACAATATAATCTTTTGCATATTTTATGTTTGGTTATTATAGACTAGAATATAGACGTTGTAAAATAAAGAGAATAGAGAGATTTTTGAAGTGGTTCAGCTATCAACCAGCCTACGTCCACTCTTCTTCAAATACTCCTTGGAGGATTGCACTGTACTAAAACTCCTAGTGCAATGAGGAACATTTGAGCCTTGAACACAAAGCTGGCTTTTAGCTTCCAGGTTTTTCACTAGCCTCAACTTTTTACTCCGACTCTTTCTACTTCAACTTAGTAGAGTTACAAAGATTGTCAATCAAAAGGAATGTTAATCCTCCAACTTAATGTAGACTTGGAACTTGAATCTTGACTTCTCGTTGCCAAAGTCTTGAGCTTGATCTGGAATTTTCAGCTTTTATCTCCTCTCTTCACTGATCGCTTGTTTCTAGCACTTGAAAGCTTTGGATACTAGCTTGTAGATTTTTACTTGAAAGACCAACCCCTTCTTCAGTCTTGATTGAATGTATTTATAGGGTAGTTTGAAATAAATCCGTTGGAGAGAGATACATTTCGAACGTCCTTTAACTCTTGGTTATTGACCAGTGGGCAATACGAAAGGTTACTTTATGCCATAGTTTTTAGCCATTTGACACACCTTTATCTGCTTCGTTATACTTTTTGCTTGCACCTTTTGTCTAGGCTTTTAAAGAAAATCTATCTTGGAATGTCTTCCTAGGAATCCTTTTGCCTCGATAACATTTCACAAGTTACTGGCTTTTAAGGCTTCAAACTGTTTGCTCAGAGAATGTCTTGAACAGTTCTTTTGAGTGGTACGGTCAACTCTTACCTTTAGAGTTGATGCTTTGAACCTTATAATATTAAGCTTGTTTAACCTTTCGTTCAAATAATTGTCCTTACTATTCGACACATTATAAATCATTACTACTCGGCAAGGTTATTGGCCATTCCACTCTTCGGCCATTGCTACCTTCCGGTCTTCAATTCTTCAACTCTTCGACTCTTCATCTTGAACTCTTCGCAGCATCCATTCTTCGTAGCTCCTTGTCTACTACTGTTCATAGAGAGTTTAGTTTCCTATCCGAAGTGTAACTATTTGAACTCCTTGGAACTATTCAAAGTGAATGAAAATTCCTAAGTCTAAAAGAATAACACAAATTGGAGACTAAATTTCCTAAGTCTTTTGGTATCATCAAAATCTAATTTACACTTGTTTCTAACAGAATCTCAATTACTATATTATTTAAGGTATATTTGAGAGGACAATTGAGATAGTTCATCTCTCCTACTATTCTTTAAAGGGTTTAAATTAACCGTAGGTTGAGTGACTAAACGGTTCAATTCCAATGGCAGGAATAAGAGTTTGAGAGCCTTAGAATGGTGTATTCGTTCTTGACTTTTATGAATTGTAAAAGTTTAAAGGTATTCAATTCAAACTTTTAATTAGGAAGTCTTTCAAAGTCGGAAAGTATTTGATTAAGAATTTTAAAGAGTTTTTGAAAGAGTCCAGTTAAAGAGTTTTTGTTCATAAGTGATTTTGTGAGTGTAGTTCTTCACTATATATTATATAATCTCAATGCAAATCTCTTTCAAAATAATATAATGTTCATGAGTTTCATGAGCCAATTGCTTAGTATGTTAATTAAGAATGGTATGCATGACGAGGGAAACTGTAATTATTATCTGAGAGTGTAAAATGGATAAATCTCATTTTATGATTTTAACCGGTAAAAGACTATATAAGGAGGTAAACTAAACTAATCGGTTCAAACTAAGGACAATAGGCGCAACCTAAGGTTGTCCAAGAATAATAATCTTTAATGGCGGTTAGTAGTGGAAATTAAAAAATGTTATTGATATTGCGCTTGAAAATTTTAAGGAGCCATGCATTTCTTTGCTGCCTATATATGTTGCAATCATTATACCATTTTCGCACTGCACTGTAGACCCTGATTCATATGTATATGTTTTGTGTTATGATGACTTTTTGTGTCTTGCATTATGAAATTATGTATCTTAAGAGTATGAATTTTGTATCTAGAACAAATTTGTAATTGTATTTTATGTTATGAATTTCTGTGTCTTGTGTTGTGAAATTCTGTACCTATGAACACAAATTATGTACCTAAATCAGATTTGAAAAATAAGTGAATATATAACATGTGTATGTGTCTTGTGTTATGAAATTTTGTACCTTACGAGTACGAATTATGTACCTCGTCTTTTCAATCTAGCTGGGTCCATAATGCTATGATATGTGTCTTGTATAGTGATTTTTTGTATTTTGTGTTATGAAATTCTGTACCGTACGAGTATGAATTTTGTATATCGTTATTTCAATTCAGGATCCATAATGCTATATGAACTCTGGTCCATGATATAAATTGTCCCTATGTTGCATACCTAGCTAGGCCATATATCATATTACACACTCACTAAACATATACTGGTTTACATATGTAAAAACAAGAACACGTACGCAATTAAGTACAGTAGTGTCTAGGCCATTAAACATTAAAAATATAATGGCAACAGTATCTGGTCAAAGTATTTGGCAATTAAAAGAAATATATTCTTGGGGTTTTGTGTTCAGAAAGGGAAAGCTAAGCTAAGGTGAGAATTGAAGAAGTGAGGCTAGCTTAGCTTCTTTTAAGTTGGTTAAAATAAAATGGTAGTATAGAGTAGCACGAGGCAGCATGCAGTATAATATTAGGTGAAAGGATGCATGGTGATTAGTAAAAACAAAAGAAATTTAAAGCAGAGTTCCCCAGGAGTACAGTCAACCAAAACGTTGAAGAAGAACATGGGCAAGTGGTGAACTGCATTGAATCAATAACCCATCTTCATTGTTTATTCCCTAATCCTAACTTTACAGTTTGGGTTTGTACAACATTTGCAGAACACGAGAGCTCGATCTCCAATCCTCTTCTCATTTTTAACTTTCACACCCTTTCCATGCTACCTTTAATTTGCTACCTCCATTATCAAAATTTTTACGGTGCCTAACATTTTTTCGATTTATGGGGTGTTAAGTAAATAGCGGTTGACTGATTGAGTTAGTAGGTTTGACTAGTTGATAATATTAACTAATTGTAGAAAAGTGTTTGGTATATTAGCAGTTAGTTAATAACTGATTACATGTAAAATGATTTTCTCGAAAAACTGCTTTGAGTAGCTTTTTGAATTTAGCATTTTGAAACAATAAGGGTATGTTTGGTTCGCACATGGGAATCGGAATCGGAATGAGTATCAAATACTTGGTAATGGTAATGAGTTTTGATGAAAGTATTTTGCATGTTTGGTAATAGGGTGGAATGGAAATGATTAGGCTAAGGATGAATAATGGGATGAAATCCTTATAAAATAAGTGAATGGGTTTTTCCATTAATGGGGTATTCCAAACTCATAGTAGTGTTTTAAAAACCAATCAATCCAACAATAGCAATCACTTTCATACCCATACCTGAGTGCTAAACCTGCCAACCAAACACACCCTTAAGTTGTTACAAAAACCTAATTAATCAAACACGCATATTAATTGTTTAAACAAGCCAATTAAATAACTAATAATAATCAAATAAGTCAAAATTGACTGATAAACAAACTGTGTTACAAACATGACCTATATATGTTCACAATCGATGCCCGAAAGTGGTTTTGCATGAAGACCCCTTTTGACCTAATCGGTAAATTAAAGGTACTAAATTCTGATGAAATTTTTAAAAGTCGTGCTTGAGTTATAATGCTGTGTATTAATTTGTCGAACGTATATAAGTGATGAAAAAAAAAAAAAAAAAAAAAAAAAAAAAAAAAAAAAAGGTTGTAAAACACAATGCCCACATTTACAAAGGGCACATGTGAATATGTGATCCAGTAAAATAGACAATAATATAGATACAATTTAAATTAAGTATAAGGCATTGTATATAATACATTTGGAAAATTTCACAATGACAGATAATAGATGTTGGGTTATAAGGGTGACTATTATTTTCTCTAGTGAGGCCTTTTAAATTGTTAGACTAGTCACTGTACCATGAGACAAAGCAAACATTTTCCCTACACAACTACACAAGAGCGTGAACATATTTTGTACATAATAAAATTGAATTGTATCATATCTCTTTATAAAGTATTTAGTAATACAACTTTAGGAAAATCTCGCATAGATTGTGTACGTATGTCATATGGTAGAAATATAATAGATATCCCGCACAGACTTAACTCATTGATTCAATAGACAGTATTTGAGACAAGAGATCAAGATTCAAAATTCGATAATGACAGTGTAGGTATTATACCCAAAGTGAGCTAACCCCTTGTGCGTACCGACATTTGACATTGTCTGTTAAGTCACTGAATTATCGTGATTTACATCATTCTAAATACTCTATCGAGTTAAAATTGGGGATTCAACCTTTTCGGACAAGAAATATAATAGGTTATTAGTGATGGCAATCATTTCATTTATTGCAACCTTTTAGAGTTGTGAGACTTTCAATAATAAATAGTATTGCTCGGTAAGATAGTGATAAATTGACAAATTTTATTATGAGTATTACATCTCCGTTACGTACATTATCTATATGATGATTACCCGTTATATGATCCGTTTAGGGATTTGAAGGAGGAGAAGGAAATGAGTTCTGCTGTTCTGGTTTGGTAAAAAAGAAAGGAAGGTGAAAGAGGAGAGAGAAAGTGAAAAGAGAAGGAGAAAGGAGAAAAGCAAGGAATAAGGTTCAAATTGGCCACTGATCGTAACATGAAAATGCAATTAGGTCATTGAACGAAAAAAAAAAATACAATTAGTCCACTGAACACTCCAAATGCATGCAATTTCACCGAATAGCAGGTTACCATCAATTTTAGCGGGTTACCTGCTTACGTGGCAGTTGATTTGGCATTTTAAATAATTTTTAATAATAAATTTAAAAAATTGAAAAAATAATCAATAAAAAATAATAAAAATAAAACGACGGGGTATCCCCCTCCTTCAATTCGTCTCCGCCGGAGACGAAGGAAGTGGGGGTGGGGGAAGGGGGTGGCAAGTGGCCACCTCGTCTTTTTTTTTTTTTTTAATTTATTATTAAAATTTATTAAAAATTATTTAAAATTATTAAAAATGTCAAACTCAGCTGTCATGTAAACAGTTAACCTGCTAAAATTGATGGTAACTTGCTATCAGGTGAAATTGCATACCTTTGGAGTGTTCAATGGCCTAATTGCACTTCTTCTTTTTTTTTTTTTCGTTCAGTGGCCTAATTGCATTTTCAGGTTACGTTCAGTTGCCAATTTGAACCTTATTCCAAAGCAAAAATAAAAAGTCAAATATAAAATTATCATTTTAACCTTTCTAAATAGTGTCGTATAACGAGTAATTAATCATAGCTCTGTTTAGGGGAGAGACATATATGAGTATATGATAATGTTTTGAAAATTTAACGATAACATTTACACCACTACAAATTATTAAGCATGGCATTAATAATTGACATATACATAAGAGCATAAATTACAATTCTTTCAATTATAAATAATAACAATATATAGCTAGGTAGGCAACCAAATTTGGTCAAGTTTACATTATAGCAACCAAATTAAGTTGAAATCTTAAGTTTACCAAGTGTAAAAACATAGTAAAAAATTAAAAACATAAAAGTAAGAATTGAAACATGCATGTTGGATCAATGTTGGAAAATGTGCGGACGTGCCGGTGGTGGTCGGTTGACCATAATTATTGTAATATAGTTATATAGTATGATGCCAACAGAACAGATCGAACTCAATTAGTTACAAAATGATAAACAAATCTATGCTCTCACATGCACTTCAAAAAATTGAATTAAACTTTGCTTATTCAATTCCATTATTTACCTTCTATTGAATTTACCCAAATTTTTAGGTATTTTAGATTTTTAGTTGAGTGCATCAAATAATTTCCATAGCCCTTTACAAGTAATATATCATTACACATTATTATTGACTGTATCGAAATTAATTAATTACCTTGTTATGAGTTAATCAAGTAAGGACCATATCCCAATGCACCTCATTGTAATAAGTTATATACATGGTCGAACTTTAGGACGTGCAGGATGGGCAACATCACAGAATCTCAATTTTTAAAAAGCTCAATAATATTTATTTTTTACCTAGTTACTTAAGAAATTAAAAAAAAAAATTTACAATTAATCCTAAAACTCATCATTTTTATCCCAAATCACTTCTCTCTCTTAATAATTATTCACAAATTACAACGACAATAATCACCGCCAATGGATCAAACATAATAATTGAAGTAGGAACTGTGATTTTTACATTCAGCTGGTGTTACACGTGCCATTCATACTTATTTGAAGTAAAAATAATATATTTTACGGTATTAGTTTTAAAGATTGCGCTTATAATTTAGGCAAAGTCTCATTTATTTATAAGAACATGGCCACAAAAATCTAAAAATCGGGTCTGGTTATATAAACCTAAAAACTTGTACAAATGATGTACGCCATTAACTATACTTATACAATATCTAAACTTTACATTCTACACTAAACACTTGTAGAACAAATTAAAACAAAGGCTCCATGTCACCTTTTATATTTAGCTTGTCCTTCTCTTAATTGAATTTGAATTAAAACCATCAATAATATTGTATTATTATTATTACTACTTTGTGGTGACACTAACACATGCTTTTTGTTACACCTCACCTACATACTTATATAACTACATAAAAAGTAACATAATTTTGTTAATGCTTTACAATTTACTATACTTTGATCATATCATAACATACGTACTTCAAAATTAAAATATGTAAAATCATTACAAGGATCTTTAACAGTAATGTCAGATTTGTACCATACTGCAGTAGTGCAGTTATAAATTAATTATATTTAAAAAACCATTACAAGATCTAACTATTTACACCAACAGAGTATTTTTTTTATTTTTTATTTTTTGAAAACATAAAGTATTTAATTAGTAAATGATGAAATTTTTAATTTTTGATGGATTTGTTTGACTATAGTGGTTTGATTAAGTCAAATTGTTAAATTTGGTGTTTAGTAAATATTTAAAGAATTGTGACCAAAACGCTAAAATCTAAAATGCTAAATTTTCATTATGGTTGCATTTATTTAGTTCAAAAAATTATGTCTTATACTAATTTAGAAAATCTATAATTTTGATTTGCATCGGTGCATATAATCAAGCATGCTTTTGGGGTTTACCGGGTTTTATCAACTCTTATTATCCCCAATATACAAGATACAATCTCAAAAAGTATATGACTATGTTTGACAAATCTAGCTAAAAAGGTAGCTGAAAGTTAAAAAGTAGCTGATAGTTGAAAAGTTATAAGTTAGAAGCTGAAAACGAAAGAGCTGTTAAGATAGCTGATTATGCTTAAAAGTGTTTGGTAAAATTAGTTTTTTGATAAGCTGATAAATGTAAAAAGACTAAAAATGACATATTCATAAAATATAAATAGGTTTGTTTACATATTAAAATTTAACATTTTGAAATGAAACTATTAGCATAATCATGATTTAGCATCTCATTATGAACGGACGATTGGAGTTAGAACTTTAAGGAGTTGCTGGGCAGTGAAGAGTTGCGAAAGAGGATGAATAAAAAATACAAGAGAAAATAAAATGCCAAAAAGGGTTTTAATTGGGAGGGTAAAAGATGTCATTTATTAAAAATAATGATAATAAAGATAAAGATGAAAAAAAATAGGAATTTACTAGCTTATTTTTGAAACGTTACCTGTTTTTAAAAAAAAAAAAAAAAAAAAAAAAAAAAAAAAAAAAAAACTCTTATTTTAAGCTACTAGCTTATTTTGAGAATATTACCAAACAGAGCTTATAGTGCACTATGCTTATCCCAGTAGGTACACTCTTAACCATGAAGTTATTTGATTATCTAGTTGTCATATCTTTCTTAAAATTCTTAACCATGAAGTTATTTGATTATCTAACTGTCATATCTTTCTTAAAATTAATAGATGATAAGTTGATCGGCATGAAGTATTTAACCACATCCATCCATGGTAATCCACAATGTCACAATAAGATGGTAGTATGTTGAACTTAGCCCTCCAAGACGCAGTCCCAACAAAACTTACATCTTTTGATTTCAAAATATAATTACCTTAATTATTATTATTATTATTATTATTATTATTATTATTTTATAATACATATGAAATATAGTTAGGAACAGTCAATTTAATTATGTATATTTTGCATGGTTGCAGTAGGCGTTAGGCGCTAGTCGAGCGCCCGGACAGCGCCTAACGCCTAGGCGGCGCCTAGGCGGTGCTAGGCGGGCGCCAAAAAAACAGTGGTAGACTTGCAGTTTGACAATTTTGATGAGGTTGTTTTCAACATTTAATCAAATAACACATCAAAATAAATGAATTAATGATAATTTATAAGTCATAACATCAAAACAATGGTTTTCAAAAAAAAAAAAAATATTAAAATAATATTAAAAATTAAAAATACTCAAATATGAAATACTCAAATACTTCAATCATCCAAAGATTCAATGTATCAAACTAGTCTACGAGTGTATATATGTCATATTATATATATGTATGCGCGCGCGTGCACACACACACACATATATAATAAAAAAAAATAGGCCGAACTGATCGGGTTAACTCGACCGAAATGGACGAGTTAACTCGACTAACTTAGACGCTAGGCACCCAAATCGGCCGAGTTAGGCGCTAGGCGGACGCCTAGGCGGGTGCCTAGGGGGGAAATGGCCACGGTCTAGAGGCGCCTAGCGCCAATCGTTATATCCTACACCACGGCGCACATAGCACTGTGCGCCGTGCGCCTCCCAAAACGACGTCGTTTTGGGGTAGTGTTGGGAGGCGCGGTAGGAAGTTGCTGAGATTATGTGTATTTGTTCACAACGTTATGTGTATTGGTTCATACAGTTATGTGTATTTTTTATACAATTATGTACATTCTTTTTATACAATTATGTACATCCGAATCAGAAAATTTGTGTGTATTATGTTAAGAGTTGATGTGTATTATGTTAAAAGTTTATGTTTATTATGTATTATGTTAGATTATGTGTATTATCTTTTAAAAAGAGTATGTATATTTTGTTATATAATTATGTACATTCATGTATAACATTATGTGTATTCTAGTATAACATTATGTACATTCTTGAACACCGGGTTTTTTTTTTAAAGAAAAAACTACTGTCATTCACTGGGGCGGGAAATTTCAAAAAAAAAATTAATTAAAACGACGTCGTTTTGCATCTGGGCGCATAGTGCAACGCGTGCCGTGGTGTAGGATATAAATTGCCGCCTAGCGCCTAGGAGGGGCCTAGGCGGGCGCCTAGACCGATTTTTACAACCCTGATATTTTATTTATAAATGTATTTTAATATGTACATGATTAAGGACTAATTAACTATACAAATTTAATTTTAATTTTGTATGCTATGAAAATACATATCTTACCAAATATATGGAAAATCCAACTAGATTATTATTATATTGTAAATATTAATATCTTTTATTTTTTAATTTTTTTTACTTTAAATTAATGATAATATAATTTGTTCCTTATTTTACACGGATAAACCGCTGGTTATATCTAAAATATAAAACACTTTGGGAAAAATAAAATAAGTTAAAAAGCATATTCATACCTTTATAAATTATTTTATATGTTACAAAATAAAATTAAACATTAAATTTAGTGAATATATATTTTAATAAACAACTAATACTACCCACTAGTCAAAATATCAAAATAATGAATATAATTCACTAATTGTCAAATGCCCATCATTTTTGTCATCTCAATTAACTACAAACATAATCAATAATGAACACTTTCAAATTTCAAATGTAATAAAAATTTACTACATCAAATTTAATAGAATAAAGCTATAAGTTAAATACATCTCATTAAATTATTGAAAAATCATCTCATATCTTGCTGTCTCTCTAAATTGTACAAAATTTATGTACGGTAAACTCAAACATGGTTGCTGGCTGCAAGAATTAAAAGTTGGAGAATTCAAACCGGAGATGTAGTTTGATAGGTTTTTATAGTCAACCTTTTTGTTTTGGAGAGAATTTGACTAAGTTTGGTGTTTTTCAAACATAGGGTTTCAAAAAAAAGGAAAGTTTGTTTGGCTTTTGAAAACATGCCACATGAAACCCACAATACCACGCACAATCAACAAAGAATGTGCTGCCGCTTTAGCATCATCGCCGGTGTCGCTGATGATTCCTCGATCTTCGGAGGCAAATTATATCATGTACCATGGTGCATGATAAATTATGCACCGCGCGTCCTTTTGTTAAATGAAAAGAAACGGTATTTGTTTTTCGCCGTTTCGCACCCTTTCACAAAAAGTAACTCTGTTATTCAATGTCATTTTGTATACATTGCAGTTTCAGTTCAACATAACTACAGTTTCATTTCGATATAACTATAGTTTCATTCGATATTTATAGACTCAAATATGTGAAAATGTTATTTAATTTTATTTTATATACACTATAGTTTCATTTAAAACACAACTACATGATCATTTTGATATAATTACAGCTTCATTGTACAATATACACTCAAATATGTGAAATGTTATTCAATTTCATTTCACTATAACTACAGTATCATTTTGATATAACTGCACTGTCCGTTTAGATATACTGTAGTGTCAGTTGGTGTTTAATACACCAAACAAACGGACTCCGTTAACTATAACGACGGACCGTTTCTTTACTTAAAGAAACGACGCCATTTTTTACCGCGGTGCATGTGTGCACCGCGGTCTATGATATAACGACTGATCTTCGGACCCTACCTACCTAACCTACCTTCATGCATTGACAATAATAATATTCATATATTTTATTAAACTAGTTTTTTAATGCGCAAATAGAATAATGCCCAATAATTATTTTTAAATAAGTATTTTAAAATATATCAATGCAATATTACATAGAAAATGTTTATGCATAGGTAAATAAATGTTGAATTTGTTTATTTAAATTGGTAATTTAGTGTATATAAATGCAATATAATATATGAAAGATTGATTATAATTGTCACTAAAATAAATGTTTGCAACTTTGTAATAACGCTAGTCTAAATACATAGTCTAAAAGCGATAGTCTAAATAAATGCTACTTTTGATTTAAATTTCTCTAATTCTTCTTAATTATCTTTTGGGTAGCATTATCATTATCTTCATCTTCAGTACATGTCCTCTTTTTTTTTTTTTTTTTGGTAGTGTGTCATGTGCAATTGGGTTACTGGTGATAGCATAGACAATCGTTATACTGTGGAACCGTGTCCACCTTGCGTTCTATGTTCATAATTACTGCACTATATGTTCATAATTATAAAGTTATATATTCATAATTTTTGAACTTCATATTCATAATTATTGAACTCTATATTCACAATTACAGAACTTTATGTTCATAATTACTGAATTATATGTTCATAATTATAAAGCTATATATCCATAATTTTTGAACTTCATATTCACAATTATTGAATCTTTATATTCATAATTACAGAACTATATATTCATAACTATGTTCACAACTCTATGTTCATATAATAGAACTATATGTTCATAATTTTTGAACTATATAATCATAATTATGAACAGTTTTGGAACCGTGTCCACCTTGCAAGGTGGACATGGTTCCACTGCATAATTTGCCTAGCATGGATGGATACATCGTGCAATGAGATTATAGTGTAGAAAGCTTTAGATTTGTCTTGCTGTGTATATGACTGTGATCTTAGTTGTACTATGAACTTTTTATATTACAAACTACTATTGATATTTGGTAGTGGTAGTTTTTCCTCTACATGTTTCATGTGGTGTGAGATTTGTATCGTAGGTTATCATGTGAAAGTATTGAACAAAATATTAATATTTATTATTTATTATATTTGTATAAGATACTCGGTAAATAAATATATATTTATGTTATAACTTTGATATTTAATTACAAGATAAAGTAAAAAGAAGACAATGGACAATATAGTAAATATAATAAATTAATAAATTTGAAGGTAAGAAATATTTAAATTGTAGAAAATAAAGATAATATAACAAATAAAATTATATCTCTTTTTAAATTTTTTATAATTAATATTTTTTAAATAAAGGCATTATAGACATCTAATTCTAAATTAATGAAACGCATATGTATTATTTTTTGTTGTAGCTACTAATTTATTTACTTTAATAAGAGTAATACAGTGACGTACATACTTTTCATCAACAATAATGCAATCATTGATTTTTTTAATTTTCATTCGTTGTTGAGACAAATTGTTTTAAGAGTTTGTTAATGACAATTGCTATAATTGCTCTCAATTGATAATAAATAATTCAAAATATATGGTCACAATAGATATTGTTATAATGATATAGTAAAAAATAACTTAACTTACAAATTTCTTTAGAAGTTTTCATGCATTGATAATATTCTGATGTGTAAACTTATTCAATTGGGGCCAGTGGGATTTCAACATTGTCAATTCTTTGAAAAATGGTCGTACCATTTTAGAGTTCATGTGTAATTGTATTTAGAGTAAATACCCAAAATGATCCCTCGACTATAGCTAAATTCACAAATTGGTCATCGACTTTCAATTTCAACTAATTAAGTCCTTAACTTTGTAATTTTAACACAATTTGGTCCTTTATCTATTTGACCGTTTGTTGACTGTGATCTTTGAGGATATATATGGAATTTCATGGTCCATTGTCGGTTTTTTAAGGTTCTGGTTGTATTTCCAGACCGCACTGTTACATTTGAATCCACTGCCGAAAGCAATCTACCAAATCCGGTCGCCTTTCTTCATCCTCCCTTTGGATTCAATGTAGTTGAGTACGTATCAGAGCGAAGAAGACGACGTGTTTCCGAACCAGTGCAACATCATCCTGGAGGCCTCCACGTGCTCCGATGAGAGCTGAAGGATCTTCTGGAGATCGTCAATCACGGTCAACAAACGGTCAAATAGATGGAGGACCAAATCGTGTCAAAATTACAAAGTTAAGGACTTAGTTTGTTGAAATTGAAAGTCAAGGACCAATTTGTGAATTTAGCTATAGTCGAGGGACCATTTTGAATATTTACTCTTGTATTTATGATCAACAACTTTGTAGTTAGGTCGCGCATGTCTGACAATGATATAAGAACATATTTGTCCGATAAAAAAAATAATAGTATAATATTTGTAAAGTAATGTACAATTGTACCATTATAAAAATACATATAAAAAATATTAATACTATAATGACCTAAATCATTCCAATAATGCAAAGCATAATTGAAATATTAAGTTTTGTACTAAATAATCAAAAGAAGATTAATTAAATGAAAAAAAAAAAACTTAACCTAAATTTTTTTTTAAATGCAAGAAAATCAAATGATTTTTAAAGTTCCTGATTTATAATCTTTGATGCTCAACTTTGAATGCTATGTATTTAGTCGGGTTAATTATTTGACCAAAGTTTATGTTAAATTTTATATTATATATAGATTTTTAATACGTTTAAACATATTCATAGTATATGTTTAACAATTATGTCAACTCTAATTGGGATGTGGTTCCAACTTAAGACTTTTTTTTTAATAGAAATTAATAAGTTAAGAATAATAAATAGTTAACGGAGTATTCCGTTACTAAAGTTTATACTAACGAAAGTTAAGGTTATTTAAGGGAAGAAAATAATATAATAGAGGGTAAATAAGGAAAATCATTAAATAATACTAAAATCAAAATCATATGAATCATTCATTTTAAGAAATAATTACACCAACATTTTTTTTTGTTCCAGTTAAGGGTCTAACATTAAGGGTCTAACTTGGAGAAGGCCAAGCAGCTGGAGGGGGAGAGCTTGTCTGAATTTTTGGTCAAGTGGAAAGCCGCGGTCGGGGAGGTTGAACCGATGGATGATCTTACTGCCATCCATATGCTCCACATTTCCCTCTGAGCTGGCTACTTATACCAGGACTTTATCCTCCATCCCCCGACCACGTACGAAGAGGCCCTCCGAAGGATGACGGATTACGCTAATGCCGGAGAAGCGAACACCGTCAAGAGATCGCAGGAGGTCGGGACTTCATCCCGCAAACCCACCGGTCGGGCGGAACATCGATCGGGTGATGATCATCCCCAACCTTGCACCCGGCTTGGCGAGTTTACGGCTTTGAACCGATCCGCGGCGGAAGCTATGCAGTACGCTCAGTCTTGCAATCTCATTCGCCTCCCTCATCCCGGCCAAGATGGACCGGATAAATCTAAGCATTGCGCTTATCACCATTGTGCCGGGCATGACACGGAGGAGTGCACACACTTAAGGCAGCTGTTGGAAGACTTGCTCAGTCTGGGAAAGCTGAATAAGTGTGTGGGTAAAAGAGAAGATACCAAGAAGGATACCGATCGGAGAGATCACAAGCGTTCTCATCACTGCTCAGATCGCTCCGATCGTTCAGATCGGTCGGGTCAAGACCACAGAGACCCGGACCCTCCATCCAGCAGCCGACCGGCGGCCAAACCGACCGTCCATGTGATCTTTGGCGGTTTGGAGGACGCCTCCCGACTGAGGGAGAATTGCCCGGTCGCGATCGTAGACTCCCGTGATACCGGGAAAAAGCAGAAGATGGAGCCCATCACCTTCACTTTGGAGGACCAGCCTAACAGCGGAGACCACGGATTGGAAGCCCTCGTGGCCACAATTGATGTCAACGGGACCGATGTCCACAGGGTCATGATGGACACGGGAAACAGTGTCAACGTCCTTTATTTGGACGTATTTGAAAAGCTTAACTTGGACAAGAGCGAGCTGATTCCGGTCGGCGTACCCTTGTCGGGATTCACCGGGGCCCTCATTCGCCCCGAAGGAAAGATCACGCTCCCGGTCGAGATCCACAACATCATCTTGGGCCGACCAGCCATAATGAAGATTGGTGGGATAATTTCAATGCCCCATCTATGCATGAAATTCCCCACCCCGAACGGGGTCGGCGTGGTACGCGGAGATGTCCAATCCGCGAGGAAATGTTACACCTGGGCCGTTAACAAGCGTGATACTGGCACGTCTTCCCGCGGTGAATACGATCGTGAAGGAAGCTACCAGTGATCGGAAGGAGCAACCTGAACCTTCCGAGGAAATCGAAGAAGTTCCCCTGTCCGAGGACCGACCAGACAGGAAGATCAAAATTGGTCGGGGCCTTACCCCCGAGCTACGGTTAGAAGTACTGGCAATCCTTTGGGAATTTGCCGATATCTTTGCGTGGGGGCCGAGGACATGCCCGGGATCGACCGTACAGTCATTTGCCACAAACTTGTCGTAGATCCCACGGCAAAGCCGGTCGTTCAGAAGACACGGCATTTATCTTCCGATCGCCGAGAGTTGGTGAGGGAAGAAGTCAAAAAGATGGCGGCGATCGAGCACATCCAACCGGTTATCTATCCCAAGTGGGTGGCAAATATTGTTCTTGTTCCCAAGCCCCCAGCATGGAGGATGTGCATAGATTTTACCGACCTCAACAAAGCATGCCCGCTCGACCCGTACCCGCTCCCGGGCATTCATAAAATGGTCGACGAGACGGCCGAGACCAAGCTCATGAGCTTCATGGATGCCTTTAAGGGTTATCACCAGATAATGATGCACTATGAAGATGAGATCAAGACAGCCTTTGTGACCCCGGATGGGCTATACTGTTACCGAGTGATGCCGTTCGGCCTTCGCAACGCGGGAGCAACATATCAGAGGATGGTCAATATGCTCTTTGCGGATCTTTTTGGCCGAACGATGGAAGCATACATAGACGATATGCTGGTCAAGAGTCAGGACCGAGCCGACCACACTCGGGACCTCCGAGAGTGTTTTCAGATTATGCGGAGGTACCAGCTGAGATTGAGCCCTAGCAAGTGCACATTTGCAGTTCAAACGGGGAAGTTCCTTGGCTATATGATGACTAAAAGAGGGATCGAGCCCAACCCGGCCAAGGTCAAGGCTATTCTGGATATGTAGCCGCCCACTACCGTTCGGGAGGTGCAACAATTGACCGGTCGGTTGGAGGCCTTGAGTCGTTTCCTCTCCAAATTAGCCGAGCGCGCCTTACCATTTTTCAAGGTATTGCGCAAAGTAAATGGATTCGTCTGGGACGATGAATGCCAAGCGGCTTTCGACGAGTTGAAGGAATATCTTATGTCGCCGATCGTACTGTCGAAGCCCGAGCTCGGGGAACAACTAGAGGTTTATCTCGCCGTATCCGATTGAGCAGTAAGTGCAGTTTTGTGCCGAACCGATTCGGAGGGGGTCTAGCGACCGGTTTACTATGTGAGCCATGCGCTCCATGGTCCCGAGCTCCGGTACTCTTAGCTAGAGAAGGTCGTCTACGCTCTATATATAGCTGCGAAGAAGTTAGCTCCCTACTTACAAGGTAGATCCATCCATGTGTTGACCGATTAGCCGATCTGACCAGTACTCCGCACCGCTTCTTCTTCAGGGCGCTTAGTTAAGCGGGCGCTAATGTTGACTCAGTATGCCATTGAGTACCGACTACGACCAGCAATAAAGGGTCAAGTGTTGGCAGACTTCTTGGTCGAGTGCACCGCTCGGGAGACCCGACCCCCGGAGGTTGAGGACCCCGAGGCGGCGTGGTGGTCATTGGCCACCGATGGATCAAGTAGCAAGAAAGGAGCAGGAGGATGGGTTGTGGTCACGAGCCCGGAGGGTTTCAAGGTATACTTTGCATTGATGTATCAGTTCCATCCGACCAATAATGAAGCCGAGTATGAGGCCTTTGTCAATGGCCTACAATGCGCTCGGGATTTGGGGGTTGACTACATCCGGGCTCAGACAGATTCTGCACTTGTGGTCGGGCAGGTCCTGGGTGACTATGAAGTAAATGGTGAGCGATTACAAGCCTACCGAGACCTTGCTATGGAGAATCTCACCTTGTTCCGGGGATACACCATTCGACATGTTCCCCGACTAGACAATGCTGATGCGGACATCTTGTCTAAGTTGGCACAAGACGCCCCGGGACACATGTCTAAAATTGCTCGGATTTTAGTGATCCCGAGACACAGCATTCACCGGTTGTCGGTCGCACCCATTCAACCAGCGGAGGATACTTGGATCACAGATTTGATGGAATACCTCCAGCACGGTCGGCTACCAGACGACCCCAGCGTGCTCGGAAGGCCAAGCTCAGAGCTCCAAGGTTTCAGGTCCAAGATGGTCGTCTGTATAGACGATCGTATGGAGGCCCTCTCATGCGTTGTTTAACTGCGTTTGGAGCTGACTTGGTAATGAAGGAATTGCATTCGGGCATCTGCTCGTCGCATCAAGGAGGCCGATCACTAGCTCGTCGTATTATGCTGATCGGGTATTACTGGCCGTCTCTTCAGTTAGATTGTGAGACGTGCCAATTATTTGCTCGGATGCCTGGACGACCGGCCACATTCTACCAGCCGGTCACGACTGCAATTCCTTTTGCTAGATGGGGGTGGACATTTTGGGACCATTCCCGCAAGTATCCGGTCAGAGACGGTTCATCATTGTCGCCATCGACTATTTCTCCAAGTGGATCGAGGCCGAGCCATTAGCCACGATCACTTCCCAACAGTGTGCTAGATTTCTTTGGCACAATGTCATTTCCTGGTTCGGCGTACCCGTTCATATCATCAGCGACAACGACCTACAGTTTGTAAGCCAATACTTTCAGAACTTTCTTGCAACGATCGGGACAACTTCTATTCGATCGTCAGTGGCTTACCCCCAGGGAAACGGACAGGTCGAGAATGCTAATCGGACAATTTTGGAAGGTCTGAAGAAGAAATTGCATTCTGCTGGTCGTAGCTGGGCCGATGAGCTCCCTTATGTTCTCTGGACTTATCGCACGACCCCAAGAGAAGCAACTTTGGAGACGCCATTCGCCCTAGTCTATGGGGCCGAGCCTCGACTCCCGATTGAGGCATGGATTCCGACCGCTAGGGAGCGATCTTACAATGCCGAGGAAAATGAACACTCCATGGTCGTGGATCTTGACGGGGTCGAGGAAAAGAGAGAGCTAGCCGCTCGGCGTATGGCCGAGTATCAAAAGAGAGTGAAGAGTTCGAAGGATGTCCGGGTCAACCCTCGGTATTTCCAAGTCGGGGATTACGTTCTACGCCGTCAGGAGGCAAGTCAGCCTTTGGAAGGGGGGAAAGCTAGCTCAGAATTGGGAAGGTCCCTACATCATCACGGCCGTCGTGCGGCCGAGAACCTACCGGTTGGAGACAACGACCGGGAGACAGATCGAGGGCACGTGGAATTCCGAGCACCTCGTCTTATTTAGACATTAGTCCTTTTTGTAATTATAAATGGAGTTGGGGCTTAGACCTGCGAGTGGGCCCGTCCATCGTTTATCACATGTATGTTTGTAAATTATTAACCGTCTGCGAACAGGAAATATTAATGTATATACGATCGGTGATTGCTCGACCGTTTGCATACGGCGGCCCGATCGGTTTTTTCAATTGCTTAAGTAGGAATTGCATTCGGTCGTGCTCATAATCTACCCGATCGAGACTCGGCATCAACGAAGAAAGAGGGGCTTTTCGCCCCACATAACACCTCTCCCTCGGTCCCGACCGATAGGGGTGTACAACTAATTGGCTCTAATAGCCATCTACCTCTTGGCCGGGCGAACTCTAACGACCGGCTAATGCACTCATCTTCGGCGAACACTCGGGTCACGCCATTGATCGGGGAAACCAGAGCTACAACAAGATCTCCCCGATCCGCCTAACTTCTTTCCACTGTCGCACTCACTCGTGCCTTGTGTGCACAACAGTGTGGGGGCTAGGGTGAAGAAGGAAGTACGAGGGTAAGCGGTCGGCAAGCCCCGAACGAAAAGGTCGTAGGGTTTTTTAAGAGGCCAATAGGCCGAGGGGTCGAGACACGAACGACCAGGCCATTGGGCCAATGGGTCGGGCAAAGGACGACCAGCAAAAGTTTAAAATAAAATGCACAACACGAACGAGACAAGTTTGGCAAAAAATAATAATTTCATTGATCATTCAAAATGTGCCCGGTACAGATCGGGACCGGGCTCCCGACGGAGTTCACTTAGCAAAAAACGAAGAAGTAAAGTACACGGTCGGAAGCTACACGACCTAATCTACTTCTCCGAGGCGCTGCTTGGCTCGGCCACATCCTCCTCGGGGCCGAAAGGCGGCGGGCCGGGGTCGGCGACCTCGTCAGGGAAGGTCGTCAGGACCAGCTGAAGGTCCTCACCGTCGAGGACTTCCTCCATGATTGATTGGGTCTTGGCGCGCATCCTCCTTTGACCGGATTTGAACGCCCATCGCCCGAATGTCCATATCATGGCCTCCCCGACCTTGTCCTTCCGCAACTCACGGAAGAACTCTCGGGCCGACGCTTCATCCCGACAGAGGAACCGCGTTAACTCGCCAAGGTTGCCCAGTCGGGACTTGAGCTTCGCCGCCTCCCCGAGAGCTTCCTTGGCGGCCTTCTCAGCCAGCTCTTGGGCCCCCTTTGCCTCCCGGGCGGCCTTCTCCGCAAGCTCCCGACCTTCCTTCGCTTTCTTCAGCTCAGCCTGGAGGTCGGTAATCTCCCCCAATCGCCGGTCGACGACTTTCTTTAATGTGTCGGCCTCATTGGCCAGCAACGCTTGGCATTGGAGGACTTGAGCTGCTCGAGATATCTGCAAAAAGCGATCGGGATTAGCCCAAGCAATGGCAGTAGTATGAAAATATGAAGACAAGAGATTCTTACGTCGACCAGATCATAGCCAATTTTCTCGGCCACCTGGGTGGGGGTCAGCTTTGTCATATCCTCCTTGACCGGCCCAAGATTGCCGATCCGGGTGAGGATTGACGCATCACCTGCGATGGCCCCGACCGGAGGGCTCGGGCTGCCCTGCTTCCTTCGGCGCTTCAATGCGCCGCCATCCTCTGCTTCTTTCTCGGCCGCCTCCTCCTTGCCCTTACGGGCAGCCACCCGGGATATCAGGACATCAGAAGACTCGACCACATAGCCTTCGGCTGTGGTGACAGTCGTAGTCGCGCCTAGTGGTCGAGCGACCGGGATTTGTTGCTCTTTGGAAGACCCGGTCGTCGTCTTCTTCTTCCCAAGCGCAATCTTGGCTCGGGGGGCTCGGGGAGCTTCCTCTTCATTAAAACCCTGTGCCATTTCTGCAAACAAAGAACAAATCGTTAGAGCGGGGTCAAAGCTAGATCGGGGAGTTTGTGTCGGGGATGATCAGTTAGTGTTAGACCTTCATTCGCCGGCTCGACCCGAGTGGCCGCCCTCGCGATCGTTACGCCCGTTGGCTCAGGCTGGTACTTCTCTTCAAGGTCGTAACGCGGCGGTGGCAGTCGGGCCTCGTCGTAGCTCTCCCTCGATCGGAAGATCTTGTATTCATGGATCTCGCTCGAGATCTTGGAGATGGCATCCCGGAGGGCCTTAGTCTCGACCGGCGTGACTTGTTTCCTGTAGTGGGTGCTCCACGTTCTCTCGACCCGGAGGATCCACGGGTCATACTCGACTAAGAAGATCATGTTCTTCCAGCCCTGGTTATTCCCGGGTAAGTGCTTGATCGTGCACAACTCCGTCCGGGATTGGATCATCAAGAATCCGCCTCTATACTTAGCCGAAAAAGTCTTCACCTGATATATGAAGTTAACCAGCTCCATCGTGCAGGCAACCTCGTGCCGAGCATAGATCTGAGGGAAGCAGGCCAAGATCTTGTGTGCGTTTGGGCAAATATGAGCCGGGACTACTCGGTAGTAGCCCAAGAACGCAGTCAAGAGGGCAGAGAAGGGGAATGCGATCGGTGCCTACAGCGAATCGTAGTGCATCCCGATCCATTTGCCTTAATGACGCTCGATTATATTACCCAGATGCCGTCGGGTGTCAAAACGAACCCGACCGTTGAGCATGGCGGTAATCCTCGCTGCTTCCCCCGACGTCAGCAAACACTCTTGCTGCTCGACGCTCTCGCTGTTCAAAAAGACGAACTCGTCGTTGGCCGGTGCGGGTGGGGCAGCCGGGTCTTCTTCGACCAGGTCTGGTGTGACCTCCCGATCGTTGGTCGGAGGTGCGGCGTGGGGGTACGCCCCAATCACCCGGTCGGCGTTTCCCGAGCGGCTTCAGTCGGAGAGCGTTGCTCGCTCGTAGTAGTCTCGCCGCTTCCGCTGCCCGATCCGCTCGAGCTGGATGACCCCTCCGAGCTAGACGACCTTTGTCGCTCAGAGGCTTTCCGTGGTCGTTAAACGACCTCTGTTGAAGACGCCTCGATATCTATCTCCTCGCTCAGCTGCTCGACCGCGTCATCATAGTCCGCGCCTGAGACGTTCTGACTGTCTGTGTCCGACATTCTGTCTTCCTAAAGGGCGGTCGGGATTTTGTTAGGGTCGGGTACGACCCGGTCGTGGTCAGTTAGGGCCCGTAGTCGGCCATCATGAGGTAATGTAAACCAGCAAAGTAAAAAGCTAAAGGAGAAAGAACTTACCGAGTGATTGCAGTTGGCTGGAAAAACTGAAGCTTTGATTGCTCGACCGATGTTCTGAATTCCTTACTTGGGTTGCTCCGATCGACTTAGAGGGTTGGTAAGAATTCAAATAAATCTCAGAAGGGCCTATTTATAGGAAAACATTTCGGCGGGAAATGGCCCACTTGCGCGAGGTGACCGTTCCGGACTCTGAGGCGCACAGAAGCCGACACGTGGCACGACAGAATGACAGCTGTCCGATCGGGTTTGGCGGCGGTTGATTGGACTTTTCATCCCGTCCCATTTTTTCCCGGGCGGTTAAAAAGGCCCGGGCTGGGGGGTCTTGGTAGGGAATACCCCGACCGACATGCCACGTGTTTTATTGTTGTTTATGCAGGTTTACAGGTCGGATATTCCTGAAGGAACCCGGTCAGACGTGACCGGTGCATCTCCCGACCGACGTCTTTAACACCCGATCGGTGGCCCTTGGATGAGAAAGCTGGGAAGAAGGACGTGGCAACGTTACGCGCTGACAGGCAGGGCTCGCGGGGTGGAGACACGTGGTTGCTACGTGGGTTACATGCCGGCCAGCCGGAATTATGTCTCCGGCCTAGCGGCTATAAATACCCGCGGCGGCAGCGGTGTGAAGGACTTTTGGAACGATCGATAGGCTATTTACAGAGCTGTCCGACCGCAGTCAGTCGACCCTCGGAATAGTCATTTAGATTGTATTAGATCCTTCTACACGATCAATAAAAGACTTTACTTGCCTTAACTTGGTCGTATTTCTTACTTTGACCGCATTACGTGAAATTAGTACTATGTGCAATTATATTTATGATCAACAACTTTGTAGTTAAGTCGCGTTGGTCTGACAATAATGTAAGACAATTTTGTCTGATAAAAAATAATAGTATAATAGTTGTCAAGTAATGTACAATTGTACCATTATAAAAATATATACAAAAAATATTAATTAATAACATAATTACCTAAATCATTCCAATAATGCAAAAGCATAATTGAAATATTAAGTTTTGTTCTAAATAATCAAAAGAAGATTAATTAAACGAAAAAAAAAAAAAAAAAAAAAACTTAACCTATTTTTTTAAATGCAAGAAAATCAAATGATTTTCAAAGTTCTTGATTTATAATCTTTGATACAACTTTGAATGCTATGTATTTAGTCGTACCAATTATTTGACCAAAATTTATGTTAAATTTTATATTTTTTTTAAATACATTTTAACATATTCGTAGTATATGTTTAACAATTATGTCAATTCTAATTGGGATGAGATTCGAAATTAATGAGTAAGTTAAGAATAATAAATAGTTAACGGAATTTAGGGTTATTTAAGGGAAGTAATAATATAATAGAGGGTAAATACGAAAAATTATTTAAAAAATATTAAAATCAAAATAATATGAACTATTCATTTTAAGAAATAATTATACTGACATTTTTTTGTTCCAGTTAATGGCCTAACATTATTGACTCTTATTAGATTTGTAGATTGTAGATATACTTCGAAACTTCACCTTTCCCAATATATATATACGCTTAGGATCCCATGAGAACACACCCCTAGAAGAAAACTAAGAACAAATCTCATCTTGAAATCTGTAAAAATTTGAGGAATCTTATCACAATTTAAAAAAAAAAAAAAAAAAAAAAAAAAAAAGGGAATAAAGGTCAAATAGACCACTGAACTGCACACCAAACTACAATTAGGCCATCCAACACAAAAAAGATGCAATTAGGTCATTGAACTACACAAATTCATGCAATTAGGTCTAAAGTGACCTGTTTACTTGCCATGTAGGTTGCGAATTTTAAAAATAATGTTTAAATTAATTTTAAACAAAAAAATAATTAAAAAAAAAAAACAGAACGACCGAAAACAAAATTAATTTCGTCTCCGGCCGTTCTGTTTTTTTTTTTAATTAATTTTTTGTTTAAAATTATTTTAAAAAAATTCACAACATCCGGGTCAGCAAAGTATCAGGTAAACAGGTCATTTTAGACCTAATTGCATGAATTTGTGTAGTTCAAGAACCCAATTGCACTTTTTTGAGTCTGATAGCCTAATTGTAACTTGGTGTGCAGTTCAGTGGCCTATTTGATTCTTATTCTAAAATAAAAAATAAAAAAATTTTAGTGGCATTTTCATAATTATCATCAACTTCACCATGCAAACTTCAACAATTAAATATGCAATCTTTAACAACTAAATATACAAACCTGGTAATTTTATAAACTCCTAGAAAAAAATAGGAGAAGAGAAAAGGCTAAAGAAGTTTTAATTGGGAGGGGCAAATGATGTCATTTATTTAAAATAATAAGGATAAAGGAAGACTATTATTTTGTTGGTTGCTTGTTCGGCTTTAAGTTTTTATTTTAAAATGTATTTTTTGCTTGAATTGGTTGTTAATTGATTTCTATGTCATATCTTTGTGAAGCTTCAAAATAGAAATAGAATGGAACTTGAAGCAGGTAAAGTAAGTTGTTTGTTAGTGAAGCGTATGTGTATGGAGCCTGCTGAACGTTATTTTTGAACCAACAGTTTCAGGGGCTTCTATCTTGAATACCCTTTTGCTTTGTTTTGTCTGCTTTTCTTGTTAGTTTGAGTTGGCCAATCAATCATATTCTTTTATATGTACAAAAAAAAAAGTTTCTTTTTACATTTTTAGAGATAGTTACATGTATTCTGCTTGTTTTCGAACTGGCTATACACATAGACACAAACTTTGTTTTCCTTGCATTAGTATTTCACCCTGCAAAATATATATATTAACGAACAAGTGCAATTAGCAATTGAGGGGCAATATTTAAGTCATACTTTACTCAATCAAAAGCTTTTGGAACACACGCAACAAATTAACTTTGTTCATTTCTCAATTAATTAATTAGTTACGAAATTTTTTATATGTTGAAATCCATTATATTCTTCAACAAATAGAATTGTCAACTTTTCTTGTACTATGAAATCCATTAATGTACTTTTGATGTATTAGTTTCACTAAACTGCAACTTTAGCTTATTGTTATTTCTAATTTAGCAATATGACTTCAACAAATGATAATATGGATGGAGAGAATTTTAAGTAGACCAACGAATACATGTTGCTTTTTTTTTTTTTTTTGTGAGATTTGTATTAGTTATATTTGAAAGCATGTGCATGGGTCAATGAAATTGAAAGAGATTAAAGAAGAGTTTAAAGCTACCGCCAAACGAAAAATTGCTCATAGAAGTTGAAAGAATAAGTGGATGCTATGAAAAAAAATGGGAAAACTTGGAAGCAACTGAAACGTGAAGAAACTGGTTTAGGATGGGATCCTAGTACAAATAAGATTAGTGGCTCCGATGAATGGTGGGAGAAAAAAAATCAAGATTTGTATTATAGATTTTTAAGATTAAAACATAATTATATTTTGGTGTTGATTGGAAACTTGTTCTTTTCATTTCTTTGTAGGAAAACTCAAATTATAAAAAATTTCGTAATAAAATCCATTGATCATACAATGGAAGATTTTTTGTCTAAGTTATTTGAAGATAATTATGCAAATGGTGAAGGTTGTGTTGCACCACTATAGATCCTCAATTAGTGCAAACATGTAGATATTTAGGAAGAAAATAGAGAAAGTGAAGAAGAGAATATAACTAGGCAAAGATTTAAAGATTTATTATATTCTTCGGATAACCAAAATTCTTTTCGATGGCATAGTTTGGAGGTAAACGAGTCTTATTTTGGAATAATTTCATGAGTGAGGTGAGCCATTGTGGTGGTAACCAGGATTTTAGTGACACTCAAGTACCTAGACAATCTCAAGGTAATAATGCTAGAAAATATGCAGAAACTCAAAATATGACTCAAATCCACTCAAATGAAGCTTAGGAGGCGACAATCAATGGGAGCAACTAAACTTTCTAACCAATTTGATATTTTGATATCAAATTCAAATCGGGCATTGGACATTTTAATACTTTGAGTATTTACAGTACTATAAGGATATTAAAATGTCGAATGCCTAATTTTGAATTTGATATCAAACTATCCAATTAACTAGAAAGTTTAGCTGCTCATCTTGATTGTCTTCTCTTACGCCTCATTTGAGTGAGTTTGAGAGTCATATTTTGAGTTTTGCACATTTTATAGCATTTTTCTTGAGATTGCCTAGGTACTTGAGTGTCACTAACATCTTGGTTACTACAATAACGGTTCACCTCACTCATTAAACTATTCCAAAATAAAGACTCATCTACCTCCAAATCCTGCAATCGAGAAGAATGTTAGTTATCCTGAGAATATAATAAATCTTCAAATCTTTGCCTAGTCCTATTCTCTTCTTCACTTTCCTATTTTCTTTCTCAATATTCACTAGTTGCACTAATTGAGGATCCATAGTGGGTGTAGCACAACCTACACCATTGCATAGTTATCGTCAAATAACATAGACCACAAATTTTACATTGCATGATCAATGAATTTATTGCAAAATTTTTAATAATATGGGCTCTCCTACAAAAGAAATGGAAAGAATAAATTTACAATCAACACCAAAGTATAATTATGTTTTAATCTTAAAAATCTATAATACAAACCTTGATTTTTTTTTTCTCCCACCATTCATGGTAGCCACTAATCTTATTTGTATTAAGATCCCAACCTAAACCAGTTTCTTCACGTTTCAGTTGTTTCCAAATTCTCCATTCATCCCACTTATTCTTTAAACTTCTATGTGCAATTTTTTGTATGACAGTAGCTTCAAACTCTTCTTTAATCTCTTTCAATTTCATTAACTCACGCCTATGCTTTGGAATATATTTGATACGAATCTCACAAAAAATCACCATCTATTCGTTAGCCTACTTAAAATTATTTCCATCAATATTATCATTTGTTGAAGCAATATTGCTAAATTATAAACAACAACAACAATAAGCTAAAGTTGCAATTTAATGAGATTAACACATCAAAAGTACATTAATGAATTTCATAGTACAACAAGAAATGTTAGCAATTCTGTTTGTTCAAGTATAATTGATTTCAACATTTAAAAAATTTCTTAACTAATTAATTAATTGAGAATTGAACAAAGTTAATTTGTGTGTGTTCCAAAATCTTTTGATTTAGAAAAAATATGACTTAAATATTGCCACTCAATTGCTAACTACACTTATTATTTTTAGGATGAAATACTAATGAAGAAATAAAGTTTGTATCCATGTGTTGATGTGCATAACCAGTTCAAAAACAAACAAAATACATGCAACCATCTCTAAAAGTTAGTTTTGTTTTTTTTTTTGGTACATGTAAAGAATATGATTGATCAACCCAAACTAACAAGAAAACGTGAAAAGGGTATTCAAGAATCAAGATAGAAGCCCCTAAAACTATTGTTCAGTAATTATTGATGCTCAACAAGCTCCACATACATACGCTTCACTAACAACTAACTTTACATGCTTCACAATTTCATTCTATTTTGAAGTTTCGCAAAGATATGACATATGAATCCATTAACAACCAATTCAAGAAAAAAAAATATTTCAAAATAAAAACCCAAAGCCGAACAAGCAAACCAACAATGGCCTAAAATAGGAGCGGGAAAGACACCGAATTTAAAAACAAAATCGCCTAACATAATACACAAAAATATTTTCACTACCCTATGACTATCAATACAAACGTACCCAAAGAACATGTATACCAACAATGCCCAAATTATATAGAAAAACCATAGTAGGGATTACACGGTCGCTGAAGAGTTTTTCGAATGAAGATGAAGGAGTCGCGAAACGAGGATGAATGAAAAAAATAGGAGAAGAGAAAATGCCAAAAGAGTTTTAATTTGGAGGGATAAATGATGTCATTTATTTAAAATAATAAAGATAAAGATGGAAAAAAAAAATTTATAAGTTACTATAGCTTATTTTTGAAACGCTACATTCAAAATATGCTTATTATTTTAAGCTGCTAGCTCATTTTTAGAACATTACTAAAAAGAGCTTAAGGTGTTTGTTAAATAGCTTTTAGCATATAGCTGTTAGATAATTGAGTTAGTGAGTTTGACTAATTGATAACATTAGCTGGTTGTAGAAAAATATTTGGTAAATTAGCGGTTAGCTGATAGCTAATTACAAGCAAAATGACTTTCTCAAAAAAGTTGATCGAAAAAACTACTTTGAACAACTTTTTTAATTTTAACATTTTGTAGCAATAAGCGATTACAAAAAATTAATTAATCAAATACTCATATTGATTGCATATATTAAAATTGACTAATAAGTTAGTTATCAAACATAGTCATTGTTTATTAGTAGTTTAAAATAAGTTATAAACTCCAAAACAACCGAGCCTTTGCTCCTCTACTCGTATATGGATATATAAATGTCCCTTTACTTTCCCTAAACCATTTTCCACCATAATCTCCTTCCAAAATCCATCATGCCTAAACACCATAGTGATATTACCAGTTACCTCACATGCCTAGCCTACTGTAATCTTCCAGATTAGCTCTGTTTTTTCACCGATAAAATTATATTAGGAACCCATCACTTCTTTCGCCAAAATCTTAGCTTTGTAAATTTATAATTTGTAAAATATATATATATATATATATATATATATATATATATATATATATATATATATATATATATATATATATATATATATATATATATATATATATATGTGTGTGTGTGTGAATATATCACAGATTCACAATTTCACATAGACAACATATGAAATCACTCAAATCAGTATATCAGTATATGAAATCAACATTTGGTGTTTAGTTGTTTACCTCAGGCTCAAGACGACGGGCTGAGCGAGCGAGTGGACGTCCAGGAGCAGCCGGCGAGGAGCAGTTTGCACGCTGTCTCGCTGAACGGAGGGCTGAAGCCACGATCCGTTGGGAAATTGGAAGACCGAAGACTGGAACAGAGAAAGAAAATAAAATTAAGAAATTGGGACTTAGGGTTAGGGATGGAAATAGGGGCCAAGCCCAATCGAGTCGGACTTTATAAAATTAGATATGGAGCTGTTATGGAAATCTAAAGTTTGAACTTAGGCCTAACGTAGGCCGTCGTTATATCATGCACCAAAGTGCACAATGCATTATGCGTCTTGTTCTACCCAAAACGACGTCATTTTGGTGCATTGTCTAAAAAAACAAAAAAAAAAAAAAATTATTTCGATTATACATAAACTCATAACAGAAAACACATAAACTCATAACTGAATACACATAATCTAACATGATACTGAATACATAGAAGCTCTTAACTGAATACATAGAAACTCATAACACAATACACACAAACTTTTAACTGAATACACATAATGGGGTTTTGGTCGTTTGGACAGACGAAGTAACGTCAGCAATTGAAACGCGCACGTTTTGTGTCTGGACGCACATTGCTATGTGTGCCGTGGTGCACGATATAAATTGCCTAGCGTAGGTTTTTGGGCAAATTATGCTGTGGAACCGTGCAAGGTGAACACAGTTCTAAAACTGTTTATAATTATGAATATATAGTTCAAAAACTATGAACATTTAGTTCTATAATTATGAATATAGAATTGTGAACATAATTATGAACATAATTATGAACACATAGTTCTGTAATTATGAATATAGAAATTCAATAATTGTGAATATGAAGTTCAAAAATTATGAATATATAGTTTTATAATTATGAACATATAGTTCAGTAATTATGAACATAGAGTTTTGTAATTATGAATTTAGAGTTCAATAATTATGAATATGAAGTTCAAAAATTATGATTATATAGCTTTATAATTATGAACATATAGTTCAGTAGTTATGAATATAAAAATGTGTCCACCTTGCAAGGTGGACACGGTTCCACAACATAACGATTGAGGTTTTTGTTCAATCGTTATATCGTGCACCAGGGCGCACAATGCATTGTGCACCTGCCCTCCCAAAACGATGTCGTTTTGTTAAGTTGTGTAGGGAGTTGATGTGACGGAGTATATGTGTATTCTGTTATACAATTATGTATATTCTATTATACAATTGTGTACATTCTATTATACAATTATGTGCATTTGAAACATGGTTTTTTTTTTTTTTTAGAGTTAAGAGTTTATGTGTAATATGTTAAGAGTTTATGTGTATTATTATGTTATATTATGTGTATTATCCTTTCAAAAAAATGTATGTGTATTATGTTATACAATTATGTACATTCGAAACATTGAGAATTTTTTTTTCAAGAAGTTAACATCAGACATGGGAAACGCAATTTCCAAAAAAAAAAAAAAATGTACAAAACGACGCCGTTTTGGGGCCAGGGCGCACAATGCACGATATAATTTGCGTTTTTGTTAGGCTCAAGCCCTGGGCCTACATTTAGCATGACCTCAAGCATTTTTAAAAGCATATCTAATATGTAGGTCATTAAAAAAGTTTCAAAGTAGGTCCTAAATAGACTTTGTGTCTATTTAAAACCTACATGTTAAAGCTTTTTAAAGCATACATGTTGTAAAAAAATTTAAAAATATACCAAATAGAAAATTAATACTTCGTATATAACTGCATAAGAATATTACCACAAATCCATGTATCATATTACAAAATTACAATCAATCAATAATCACAAAATGACAATCACAAGTTCATAATACAATATCCAACAACACAAGTTTAATAACTAGAAGTTCATAATACGAAATTCAACAATATACAAGTTTAATAACCACAAAATCACAAGTCTATAATACAAAAATTCAATACAAGTTTAACAACAACAAAATCATAGGTCCATAATACCAAATCTAACTTATGCAATATCTTAAAAATCCAAAATAACAACAATGTAAACAATGTCTTATAGGGCTGTCATATTTTTTGAAATCCAAAAGAAATTAGATTGCATTAGCCATATCAGGATCAACAAAAGAAGGAGGAGCATCCCTCCAAACAGAGCGTGTCGAAATCGCACTTACATCTTTAGCTAGGGAATGAGCCGCCCGATTAGCGTCTCTACTAACAAAACAAATCAAAGAACCAGGCATGGAAAAAACTAACTGCAAACAAGAATGCAAAATAAAATCAATATAAGTCCAGAAAAAGCGAGCATTATTAAGAATCGAAACCAAGACTGAGCTATCTGTGTAAATTATGACTGTAGAGAAGCCATTATCCTTTAACCATGAGAGTGCTTCACGCATTGCTATTGCTTCCGCCAATAGTGGGTCGTATGGGCAAGTCATCGGGCCATTCGCCGCTGCTACAAAAGTGTCATCCGCCTCCCGCACGATAAAGCCGAAAGCCAAAAGCCACTGCATGTTGCTGTCCATGGAACGCCGCATCCACGTAACAAGTGACTCTAGTAAATGGCAGCGACTCAAGACCCGACAACAAGGACTCCGTCTGCTGCATGCGTGGAGGAAGTCGTCGCTGATTGCTGCTCATCCATGCCATCCATTTTGCAAAGAAGCCGCGGCACAGCGCATGTGGAGTAGGCAAGCGACACACCCACACCGCCATATTCCTGGCAGCCCAATTATCATACAACAAACCGCAAATCTGCCCCTGGGTGTCTCGTGAATATCCAGCCGAACAGCCTAGCCAAATCTCTGTCCATTGCATAAAATCACTACCGTTAAAAGAGGGAATTGGCAGTTGAGAGGAATCCCAAACATGACTAGCATTAGCAAGAACATAAAACATGCATGATATTTTCCTCAACCATCCCGCATGCATGACGGGCAAACATTTAAGTGCTCCACCCTTCTTCTAATCAAATAATCAAGAGTGGGCAAGATCTTAAAGAGGGCTCTCCACAAGAAATTTTTCCATTTGGGAGGGACCTGAAGCCTCCAAATATTGTTCCATACTAAAGAACGGGGAGCATTAATTTCGCCCAACTTCCTATAACCATCCTTGACTGAGTAGCATCCCCTCATATCCCCTTCCTAAAACCACATGTCCTCAAAATTCATGTTGATAGGCAATTGCATAATAAGTGTAGCCACACGTGGGTCAAAATGCTGCTGAATAAAGGCATTATTCCACCTATTCATGAAGCTATCGATCAGATCAGTTACCAAAAGGTCCTGGTTGGAAGCAAACTGGCCTGATCTCACAAAAGGATCATGAGGGTCAGGCAACCAAGGGTGAGACCAAACCTGAGTTGTTCTACCATTTCCAATTCTATGTCTACTCCCCGATCTCACTAAGTCCTGGCTAGCCATAATACTCATCCACACATAACTTGGATTACCACTCAAAGTAGCTTCAAAAAAGGAAGATGTAGGAGAATACCTAACTTTAAAAACCCGAGCCATAAAGAAATCAGGATTAGTAAGTAAACGTCACTCTTGTTTGCCTAGTAAAACCAAATTAAACTCATGTAGGCGTTTAAAGTCCAATCCACCAAACTTTTTGGGAGCACACATTTTATCCCAGTCACACCAATAAATACCATCCTCCACACCATTCCTCCCCCACTAATACCTATTCATCAATCTTTCAAGCGAGGCACATAAAGTCTGAGGGAGCAAAAAAATACTCATCATATAAGTAGGCATAGCCTGAGCTACACTCTTCAAAAGAACCTCCTTACCTGCTCTGGATAATAACCTCTTATTCCGGGAACCAAATCTTTGCTTCAGTTTCTGCTCAATATAAACAAAGACTGCCTTTTTGTTTTTGCCAATAACATAAGGTAATCTCAGATATCTGCCAAAATCATCGGCCTGATTAACCTCCAAGGCACCTACAATGAGCTCCTTAATATCTTCCTGAGTATTACGACTAAACGAAATACTAGACTTGTGAAAATTGACCGCCTACTCGGAGAAAGTCTCATAGATCCCTAGATATCTCTTCACTTCCATAGTCTCCTGCAAATTAGCTTTAAACAAAAGCAGGTTGTCATCCGCAAAAAATAGATGTGAGATAGGAGGAGCCCCACGGGCCACTCTACAACCATGAATAAGACCTTTCGCCTGGGAATCCTGTAAAAGCAAAGATAAGCCTTCCGCACAGATAATAAACAGATAAGGAGATAAAGGATCCCCTGTCTAAGACCCCTATTTGGAGTTATCTCCTCACTAGGCCTACCATTCACCAGCACCTTATAACGAACCGTTTGGACACACATCATCACTAGCTGGACCCATTTCTCATCAAAGCCCAACCCTAACAGCATTTGTCTTACAAAAGGTCACTCCATTATGTCATACGCCTTCTCCATATCCAGTTTTAGGGCATCCCACCCAACCTGTCCCAACTGTTTCCTCCTCAAATAATGACCAACCTCGGATTCAATAAGAATATTATCCGAGATCAATCTGTCCGGGAGGAAGGCACTCTGGGAATCTGAAATAATACTTTCTAGCAGGGGCTTCATGCGATTAGCAATCATTTTGGCCATTATCTTATATAGACATTACATAAGGCAATTGGCCTCAAATCAGTCCACATAACATTACAATACTTAACAAAATTAAATTACCTTTAATTTGCACGGAAATCTATAATATTGCATACAAATTAATATTGCATATGATTATGCCTATTCAAAGGCTATATATTTAGTATATTCATCACGAATGATTACTTACAACCTTAATTAAATCATCTTTAATTTGCACGAAAATCTATAATATTGTATACAAATTAAGCTTGCATATGATTAAGCCTATTCCAAGTCTATATATTTGGTATACTCATCACCAATTATTACTTACAACCCTAATTGCACGGTACATGTATATATATAAAGCTTACCAAAGTTTATCATTACTGATTCAACCTTCAACCTTAATTGCACGGAAAATAGTGCGTTAAATTTGTATACATAGCTCATAATTGATTATACGTAAATAATTTGGTATATAGAATCATTACATATAATTTGCATACATAATAAATTTGGTATATAGAATCATTACATATAATTTGCATACATAACTCATAACCTTAATTAATTTGTATACATTAATTTGCA